CCTGGTACCCATTTTTGGGTGGGTCACCCTGGGAGACAAGGCCATTTTTTGGATGAACAAAAACACATCCGGTTTAATGTAGATTTGAACCTACAACCTTTGGGCCTAAGGCAACCATCTAGCTGTTACACCACAGTGGCTCCCAAAGCATGGAAGAGAACTAAATCCTTCTGACAAAGAAATTTAAAATTGTGCATACAAATGAAGGGTACAATATAGAGCTTCATACTTGGGCATAATAATACATGAAACTGGTAAGAGACCATGAAGTGGGTCCACTCCCCCAACACACTTTTTAAATATCTTCCATTCTTCTAGTTCTGCTTTCACATAGTGTGAACTCTGGCAAAAAGTCCTGATTGGTCCTATATTTGTGTCTGGATGGTGTTCTTCTTCCAGGACTTGGGTGTCACATGAACAACTATTTTTCATATCTGGTTTATTATGTGCAAACGAGTGGTTTTCCCACCTCTCAGGCAGATGTACTCCAATTTCTAAGGAAATCACATCGACCCTCCTACGTTGGCCAGGACCCTGGGAAAACCTCTTTCAAGGATGACCACAGAGAGGTGTAGACAGTTTGTAAGCAGGACTAGCCCTGGTCCTAGTGCACAACCATATGTGGTGATGCGCCGAAACATCTCAGGTGTATTCCCTTTTCTGTATTCATCAAGCCTGCCAATTGTTACAGTTAATACACATTTTCCTGATATTTAGACATAACATTGATCTGAGCATCAGGGAGAACTGGCTCATAAACAGCATCCTGTCCTCAAAGTGGAGGTATTTTGGCCATGTTAAACTTCAAGGTGACCTGGAGAGAACAAAGATGGAGGGTACAGTTTTTGGAAGACAAAGCAGCTATCTCTCTGCAAAGATGGATAAAGAACATTGACAATGCATTTGCTGTGAAAGCGCATAGGGCTGGAGAAGGGGTTAGAGAAAAAGAGACTTCAGACATAGTGTGACCAAAGCAACATTCTGTAAAGGATCTGCTGACTGATGATGATGAAACATAAACACAGAAAGTGTTCTGGGTAGTTAACATCCTTTGGATATTTTCTCCAGGTTATGCCGGTGTGTTGGGAAATGAGCAGGCAGATAGACTGGCTGGCTCTGCACCACTTGGTGGTGAATTGATGTATAACGAGTTAGATGTTGTGGGGGCCCTTTGGGAGCGAGTGAACAGTGCGGAGGCGCAGATAGATCATAACGGAGAATGACGCTGCGAGAGGAGTTACCATGGGATGTAGCCGACGCTTAATTCTCAGCGGAAGGATGAGATGTATGTACTGGTACCATCGGAATTGGAACTCTTAGCTTGCTACTGAAAATGGGGACTGAGCACTCATGGGAGTGTCCCGAGTGCTGTGATGTCAATTCTCAATTCAACATTCAACACATAAACTGTGTTAGTTTACCTATGTTTATGTTTATTCAACGGATTAACATCATGGCATACGGTGTAACCCATAAGTGCTCCGTTCTACTTCTAACTCAAGCCTGAGTCTGAAAATTCTCAACGCAGTGCATGAACTCCGTTGCACCAGCGAGGATCCTGAAATACTTTGGGTAGATTTGTAACTCCAAATTTTGACCGAGCAGTGCCGTTAGGCTACTCTTTTTGATTTCTAACTGCCCAAGGATTTTTACATGCGCAAGAATAAACACGGGCGTCCAATCTTGTTTACATATGATGTCTATGCAAAAATTTTTTTAAAACTGATACATCGGGGGTTCGCTCCCTGGCGGAGCCGGACTTTAAAAAAAAAATGACCTTGGCTCCCAGGTCAACCCAGCCTTGAGTGGGTACTGGGTGCAGTCCCGGGAAAGTAAAGGCGGCCGGCGTGATGCTGACCACATCACCAATCTTGTGCCGATTGGTCTATAAAAATATAGGTCTAGCCCTATATGCCATATACGCCTAAAGGCGCGGAAAAGGGTCCTTTACTTACTTTACTTAAACTGATACATGTATTTAGGGTCCTTTACTTACTTTACTTAAACTGATACATGTATTTAGGGTCCTTTACTTACTTTACTTAAACTGATACATGTGGGTCCTTTACGTACTTTACTTAAACTGATACATGTATTTAGGGTCCTTTACTTACTTTACTTAAACTGATACATGTATTTAGAAATACTTCATGGCCTGAAGAGAATGGTGTGGGGGAGGAGTATCCAAGGTTCTGGCAAACAGTCTACACCCAGAGGAAAGGCAAGATGGACATAGCATCAAACTACGACTGTACCATCTGTTCTAAATCTTTGCACTGGCTGCCAAAGATGGGGACGGAGCCCTTATGGAAATGTTCTGAGTGCTTTGATATCAGCTCTGAACTCATCTCGGCTTGGAAATACTTTGTTAAAATGTATTTTCTTAAACAATATTTAAAATCAGAAAATCAGCACAGAAGAAGATGCGTTTAATTCAAATTATTTTATTGGAATATAGTTTTCTTGCAAGTCATTGAATTCTCACAAAGGTGTCTGCTATAAGTACGTTGCATCTACTTCATGTTTGTACACACAACATAGCATAAAAAATATCTTTTAATAATTAACAAAGTATAAACTGTTTAGAAAGGGTTCCATTACTTGACAGTCCATGAAATGAACACATGACCTTCAGAGTGCAAGACAAATGACATTAGCACTTCACCATGGAGACCCTCAACTCTTTAAGATAGTAAAGTAACATCGTCCTAGGATAGAATGATATAAAGGGATACTTGAATGGCTCTGAAGGAGTGAACCCAATACAGAAGCAGGATGTATTAGTTAAAACAGCCACGGGTTGATCCAGAACCACAAATGAGCACCTGACATTTTTTCTGGCAAGTCACTGCAAGGAGGAAGGAAGTTGGACAGTTCACACCACAATACTATAAACCAGCATATTTTAGAATATGTCACTGCAAAATTAGACATCACTGTATATCACAGGCTTTCATTTACTCTCATTATGACAGGACATTCATTGCGTAAAAACCATATTTTATCACAATATTTCATTTACTCTCATTATGACATGACATGCATTAGGTTAAAAAAAATGATATTTTAATATGCACCTGGTATAAATCATATAATATTTTGGAATAAAAGTGATTATTATGCCAATTTTCTTATGAAATAGAACAAAACCTCACACTCTAATTTTACAGAACATATCAATATAAAAATGATTTATTCACACACACAAAATGTAGTAAGTAAGGGACCACTTCCCAGCAGGATATACAGTGTAAGCCATTCCCACAGCCGGGTATACAGTGTTAGCCATTCTCACAGCAGTGTATACAGTGTTAGCCACTCCCACAGCAGGGTATACAATGTTAGCCACTCCAAAGCAGGGTATACAGTGAGCCATCTCCTAGCAGGGTATACAGTGTTAGCCACTCCCACAGCAGGGTATACAGTGTTAGCCATTCCCACAGCAGGGTATACAGTGTTGGCCATTCCCACAGCAGGGTATACAGTTTTATTCTCACAGCACATTTGTTAGACCACAGCAGGGTATACAGTGTTGGCCACTCTGATGCAGGGTAACAGTGTTATTAACAGCAGGGTATACAGTGTTACCCATTCCCGCAGCAGTGTATACAGTGTTATCCAAACATTTTAGACTAGCGACAACTTCCTCCTTTTTGTCAAATCTGCTTTGTACTGCTAAATGTAGCAGTCTAACAGATACAGACAGCTGAACTAGGGCATGACTGGGTTACTTGGTGTGCTGTACTGTTGTGATGTCTTAGACCATCAGTGACTCCATCAATTCATGTAATTCAAGGTCACCCTCTGCTTCTTGGTGTTTCCACTTTCATATTATATGCCATCAATGGATTTATTCTTACAAGATGACCAAACAATTTCTATCTTTGTTCCTCGATGAAATAATTTAAAAGTGGCTTTGCTCCTGTCATTCTTTTAATCTTTTAATTTCTCACATTTTATCCTCTGTTTTGTTTGCAGCTTTTCTCGAACATCTCATGTCACAAGTGGTGAATGCAGGGCTTTTTTCTCTTCTCACTTCACCTCATTTCTGTATCAATCTATTTATTTATTAGGTATTGATCTATTTGTTTTATTCTATATTCTGTGACTTTATGTTTTAACAATTAAATTTAACACTTATATGATGCACAAAAAGTAAAAGATGAAAAAATAAATTAAAACAAAAGCATTATTGAATTTTATAATACATTTTGGTGAATACTGGTAACAAAGATTATTAATACTGGATTCTAAATTGTATTAAGGGATATGGAGGCCCCAAGCATTCACATACATGACCAGTCTTCTGATACAGCAGCCAACCCAAAGAACCTCTACTGATAGGCAGTTAATATTTTATAGACTAATAATATTAAATAACACAGAGTCACAACTAAGTTTACACGAAGACCAGTAGCAGAGTGCCTTTGTGACTAAGGTTCTTTTTTTCTTTTTCTAGAAAGAAATACATATACTCATTTTACATGAAAAGTTGCAAAGCAGGCAAAGATATTAATGAGATGTGTACAGAATATAGCAAAAAACAGAACTTATTGGAAAAGTAATAATAAATTATTAATTAAATCCCAATGTTTACAAGGAAGAAAAGACGGACACAGTAAATATATTAATTCTGTAATACCACAAAACCAAGTAATAAGGACTAATATTGTAGAAGATAAATCAATTAAAAACAAACTGAAAATCAATCCTGTTAGGTTGTTCTTTTTGGCTAAGCATCTTAAATATGTCTGAAGAGTTATTGTGATACCAAGCCAATATTGTGGGAACAGACCCAAACAACACACAAAATAAAGTGAAATGAGATGTTTAAGAAAAATAGCAAATCATAAATTAACTTATAGGAAATGTCTAAAAAAAAAACATAGTTTAATCAGTGCCAGGAAGTATCTGATGAGAAAATAATATATTGTCAGGTTACAAGTGAAAATTATCACTCTATCAACATAAAATTATTACTAGCTAAAGAAAGCCACCAGTTAGACCTGTAGAAGCAGGGCTACACCTCCTAAAACCCATTTACTGGGCTTCTCTTTGGACTTTAAGTTAAAAGTCCACACGTATGTGGGTCCTCTGGTCTTTGTCTTGTACACTGGACACTCATAGACATTTCGAACATCCTGGCGATCAACAGGGATGGCCTTGATGAAGATGATTGGCATGGGAGGGGCAAGTTCCTTCAGACGAGCTTCAGCTATCATGCCAGTTTGCATGTCCCAACGTGCACCTTCCATGTAAAGTCCATGAACATAGGCCCCTTCCCGCGGCGGTCCAGCCATGTCTTCACGTGACTTCTTGGTGACGTCACACTGTAGACACATGCGGTCAAGCGGCCACTCATTCTGAATAAATTAGATATCATGAGGCAATAAGAATAACAGTACAAGGGTTTGTGAAAAATTGTAACAATGTAAAACTATCAAGGTCAGTTTGGATTTACAGCACTGTACAATGTAAGAGTCACAGAGAAGAAGGAAAAGGAGAAGATAAAAAACACCTTTGACAGATGATATTAAGTAATACCAGGTCCTTGTGTGGGTTCTGGGCCTTCACTGTGGGGAACACAAGAACAAACCCACTGCCACCCAAACAAGCAAACAAGCATGTCGTACAAGTCGATTAATTGGGGGCTTCCTTTAAAGTCGGAGTGCATCAGCCCGAGAGGCAAGGAACCAACAGTCTGCATAAAACAAGTCAGTTTTGTAAAAAGAATGTGCACACGACACTCAAGTTCTGAGGTGGATGAACACTCAGAACTGTCCTCTAGAGTTTGCTGCCTGTGAATGCAGAAGAAGAAGTAATACCAGGGAAAACAATACACAGAGAAGACAATAGGTTTGGTTTTTTTTTTTTAGTCAGGCGCTACTGACACCATCAGTAAGGTAACATTATTTTTTGGCCACTAAAGAAAAGAAGCAGATGAATTGTGGGAATATTCTGGGTGAACTGCTGTTAACTCTTAACTCTTTGAGTCCCAAGGAACACATCATGCGTTCATAGGTTCCTACCTAGAAGCCCAATGAACGCATCATGCGCCAATTTTATTACTTTCTTTACTACCCCCTGGGCCTGTGACACTAAGCCCCCTGGGACTCAAAGAGTTAATTCACACAGAAGTCATTTAAACAATAATATCCTGTTCAACTTATCTGGGTTACTTCTGGGATAGAGTTTTCTTTATATATCAATAATGCATGTTTATGCCTTTCAATCATGTATGGACTGGTACCATCGGAATTGGAACTCTTCGCTTGCTGCTTAAGATTGGGACTGAGCACTTATGGGAGTTTCCTGCAGAGTGCTGTGATGTCGATTCTTAATTCAGCATTCAACATAATCATGTATGGCTATTCAGTATTTCCTATCTTATGTACTAATTGTATCAGATTGTAGGAGTACAAATTGTCAAGTTAAATAAATGTTAAGTGTACTTTGCAACAATTATAGTAATTTTACTGTGTAGTCTTTATTTAAAGTGATCTTGTATACCATTTTTGTGTCTTGAGTTATAGTAACACCTCATATGCTGACCCCTGTTCTTATGATGCACTGTTTAATTATTATATTTTTACACATCGTCCCCTTGTGGAATGCATTTTTTTGTTATATCAAGCCCCACCGTGGCTTTTGCCAAAGCCCTTGAATATAGCTGCACCACAATTGTGGCCATAACTGCTGAAAGGGATTTCTGGGACCTTTCCATGGGTGATCCTCATGTGTATGGTGGCACTTTGTGTCACCGGGTGTTTATCGCTTGTGTGATGTCCTGGTGGGGTACAATAAGCAAGCAAGTACTGTTTAATCCTTCCCTGTAGTTCTCTAGAGCCATAGACTCACAGCTTATTTTTTTATTGTCACAGGCTTATTGCAGTGGATAATATAATGTATACATTCCAAATTCATTCATTTGATCCTAGACTGTTGCTATACTAGCCCATTCCATTGTGTTCATAAGTCAGCTTCTCTCATCCTTGATCATTATTACAAATGATTTCTGTCCTAGAGAGTTATCCTGTTAATTTCTATGTGTTCATACATTTTTGTGACAAACTGACTATTTTCTGCAGCAGAAAGCATTAACAATCATACACGACTGTGCAGTTACCCATAGATGTATGACACAATGCATAGTATCGGATGTGTATGATTCTATATACTTATGTTTTATGTGTTAGACAACTGAAGAAGAAGGACAGGACATAACTAAAGTATGAGCTAGATTATAGCAAAGACAGTTATAATCATTAAACAAGTCATACAAACAATACTGGGAAAGAAACTCCCTGTGTGGGTGAAGAACAGACCCACTCAACTAATTAGGAGTATTTCCTTGTTTCCTTCAAAGTCGGATTGCCTCTGTCTGAGAGTCGAGGATCCAACAGCCTGCATATAAACAAGCCAGCTCTGTGTGGACAAACAACCGGAACTTTTCGCTAGAGTTTACAGCTGGTGAACGCTAAGGAGAAGACACTCAGAAACCATTTTTAATTGCTACAAGATTTCTTGTCATTAAATATGATGAAAGACCTGGATCCAAAATCTAACAGACTGAACAGAAATAAAATACAAAACATTAGGTCCAGCCCATATGATATCCAAAAAAGGAAAGAAGGAAAGAAAGGATCAGATAGTCAACAGGAACTTAGTAAACCAATGACACAGTGTTATGGAACCATTGATAGATAGGAATATGGTGTCTGAAATTATTCAAACTGACCTTTCTGGCCATCTGCTGCATTATAGCAGTGAGGAAACTCTGTGGGTTGAAAAAGCCACCAAGCCACACAGCCGCTGGAAGCTGGAAGTCTGATGTCCAGGTTTCAAGTTCCTTGACTCTCTGAAGAAGGTCAGCATACCATGCTGCCAGGTTGTACAGGGAGGGGTAGGCTCGTTTAGCCCAGTTACTGGGTATATTGTCCAGGAACAAGCTGTTACTGAGATCCTCCATATCTGCTGTGATAGTCAGTTCACCCTGATAAATGAGAAGAACACAATTAACGATACTGTACAATAGTAATAATGCTGTTGCAAATAACATGGTTTGATTGAATTCATTTATGTGCAGATAATTAGGAATAAACCTTATCAAGTTTGGCAAGTAAGGATGCTGGTAACATATAACATACGTATGGATGAAATCACATAAATAGCATCCCATTATCATAGAGGAGATTCTTTGCAATGTTTCAAGTATGTCATCACACGTATCTTTTTTTTTGTTTTTGTAGTTTAGTTTAGGTGTAACCCATAAGTGCTCTGTTCTAATTCTAACTCAAACCTGAGTCTATAGAATCTCGGCTCAGTGCATAAACTCTGTTGCACAGGAGGCCAGGATCCTGAAATAATTTTGGGTAGATTTTTAACTCTAAATTTTGCCCAGGCAGTGCCGTTAGGCTACTCTTTTACAATTTCCAACTGCCAAGGTATTTTTTACATGCACAAGAATACATATGGGCATCAGGTCTTACTACTCATAGACCAGGGGAAATTACTAGAAGTCCAGGTGGAAAAATCCCAGCCTTCACCGGGGTTTGAACCCGGGACTCTAGTACTCGAGGCAGAGGCGTACCCCAAAAACTCTCAGTCATGCTGTGTTTGAATTTAACTTGTTTTTATCCCCTGACCTGTTTGACATGAGAGATATTGGCAGTAGCAATAGTACCATTGGCATAACTCTGACCATAAAACCCGCAGAGTGCTGATTGGTCTCTTAAATATGGAGTTATACCAAATTCACTTCAAGAAATGGAAACTAGTTCTTTACTCTATCTCCGCTGTTGGTCCCATTTTGGGGAGAAAATTAACAGACCCGCTGCTTCACTAACAAGCATGTCCTAGGAGGCAACTAATTAGGGTTGTTTTCTTCAAAATTGTAGTGTATCTGGCCGAGAGACAAGGGACTAACAATCTGCATACAAATAAGCCAGATATGTAAAATGAATGTGCATGCAAAAATCAGTTCTGGAACAAGACAAAAGTTTAGAAGAGGACGAACAATCAGAACTTTCCGTATAAATTTACAGTTGGTGAATGTTATGTAGAAGAAGAAGAAGCAGAAGAAGTTCTTTACTTTTACTTCATTGCATTATACATGAATTTCCAACTGACTCAGCTTGCCATAAGAGTGGGGAAAAAAGGCGTAACTGATTTGGTTGTAGTGCATAACGGAAACAGTTTCTAGTCATTAGTAACAGAAATGAGGTCGCTTTTCTACAAATTTAAGTAACATATGTTTAAGTTAGAACTAGTCTGGTCTGTTTTGAGGATAAATTCAATGCCTTCCTTGGATGTAAACAATGATTCCATCTCTAAGAATAATGTTTTAATACTGCAAATGTCCTAGGTAGTTAGCACCTTTTGGATATTTTTTCAGGGTTTGCAGGTGTTTTGGAAAACAAGCAAGATGACAGATTGGCTGGTTCTGCATCACTTGGTGGTAAACTGATGCATGACAAACTAGATGTTGTCAAGTCTCTTTGGGTGAGAGTGAATAGTGGAGAGGCACAAGTAGGTCATCACAGTCTGAAGAGAGTAGTGCAGCAGAGAATGACCAGGGGGATCTGGTAGACACTCAGCTTTCAGGGAAAAGGCGTGGTAGACATATATCATGACTGCTACCATCAGAACTGGACCTCTGCACTTGCTGCTGAAGGTGAGGACAGAGCGCTCATGGATAAAAATGTCTTGAGTGCTGTGATGCCGGTTCTTAATTCAATTCAGTGTTACAAACCTCAACATAAACTCACCTTTAGACCCAAGTCCAATTCCTTAAGAGAGCGTCGAATCTCGGAGGTCAGCATGTTCATGCGTTCACACTCTTGGAAGGCAACAACAACATATGGTGTTCTTTCTTCAAGTGGAACTTTGGCCATAATCTCCAACATATTAAACTCATCTGGAAGTTTCTCTACAATGTCATCAAGGATGGCTTTGACCTATATTACATGATAATTATTATCTTATGTAATTATTATAATGAATTGCTCTAGCTTTTCTTGTCATTTCAAATAAGAATATTCAGCTATTTGTAGTACATTTGTCTGGTATGAACATTGATTCAAAGCTCTAAGAAATAAGGGTTATGTTTGCTTGTTTTATATCAGACATAGAAGTACATATTTCTATTTTCTCCATGTGGGTTCCTGGGCCCATTATGGGGAGATAAATAATAGACCCACTGCCTGCCCAAAAGCATGTCGTAAGAGTCAACTACCTGAGAGCTTCCTTCAAAGTCAGAGTGCATTTGCTTTAGATGCAAGGAACCAACAGTCTGCATACAAATCAGATCTGTAAAACTGATGTGCATGCAATACTCAGGTTCTGGAACAGGCGTCCAGAAGTGGAGGAACAGCCAGAACTTTCTGCAGGAGTTTACAACCCGTGAACGTGAAGAGGAAGAAAAAGATATTTTTATATATCCTAGACTAAATAAAGACAAAACCGAGTAATAAAACAATGAATAATTATTTTGTAAAATGGAAATAACAGAGAAAGTTTGTGTTTGTTATATGGTGAAGCTCACTGATCTACTTTTCGTGCGGTTTTGTATCTTTCCAATAGAGAAAGAAGTACACTCACTAGCATTTTTTTTTTTCAAAATCAGTATATTTTTCTTAGTATATACAATTTTTTTTTTAAATTTACTGATATATATAAATATATCTATATGTATATATTCAGTATTTACAAATACTAAAAAAAAAAAAAAAAAAAAAAGAACCAGTGCATTTCCCCAGACAGGCAAGGAACCAACAGCCTGCATACAAATAGCCAGGTCTGTAAAATGTATGTGCACACAACACCCAAGTATTGGAACAAGACTGAAGTCTAAAAGTAGATGAACAACCAGGACTTTCTGTTGAGTTTACAGTCAATGAACGCAAAGAAGAGAAAGAAGGAAAGGAAGAATACATTCTATAATTTGTTAGTGTAATTATAGAAATAAACTGAAATAAAAATAATAAAAGTCAATGCTTTTTTTTTCAGACAAGTACAGAAATTTAATTTTAGATTGTGTTAGGGCTATTTATAGACAAAGTGAAAGCGCCATTAGAACAAGAGCTGGCATCACAGACTGGTTCCCAGTAACATCAGGAGTAAGACAAGGTTGTGTATTATCACCTTTACTTTTCATAATATTTATGGACAATATTAATAAAATAGACATAACACCAACAGATGTCGATAAACAGGAGAACTTCAATGAGCTGCTCTTTGCGACGATCAATGCATATTTCACAGTGATAGTAAAAACAGCTGCAAGAACAAGCACATGAACCTACTACACGACAGTTGCCTCAAGCATCATATGAAGATCAATACTGAAAAGACAGAAGTCATGAGCATAAGTAGAGAGCAACAGACCATCGACATAAAGATTCTAGATCACAGCCTAAAACAAGTGCAAGAATTTAAATACCTGGGAAGTATCTTTACATCCAATGGTAAAATAGACAGAAGATTGAAGCAAGAATCCAAACAAGCCAACAATGTTGCATACCAGCTTGCCCCAATTTTAAAACACCCTGCTGTCCTAGCTGAGATAAAAAGACAAATTATAAATACAATCTTTATACCGACATTAGGTTACAATGTCAGACTTGGACATTAACAAAAGAACATGAGAGAAGACTAACCACCTGTGAAATGAGATGTTTGAGAATGGCTGCGAATAAAACCAGAAGAGATCGAGTGAGAAACGATGTGATCACAAGAACTATTGGAACCATACCCATTGTTAAATTTATTGAGAAGCAAAGAATGAAATGGTTTGGTCACCTAATGAGAATGGAACCAACGATGCCAGCATCAAGAGCATACAACATGAAAATCGAAACAACAAGAGGCAGGGGAAGACCAAGAAGAAGATGGATTGAAGGAGTCACGGACAACTTGAGACTTCATAACATCACGGCATATGAAGCGACTGAGCGCGCCCTGGCTCGGTTGCCGATCATCTGATAGACTGCGACGCCTAGCGGCACAAGCAGATTTTGACAAAAGAAGAGAGAAGACAGAAATTTAAGTGGGCACATGGATAACATCAGATGGAAGATGCATTACTGAGATAAGGAACAGAATAGGACAGGCAAATACTGCATTTTATAAAATGAAGAACATCTTGTGCAATATATCTCTGTCATTAAAAGTTAGAAAAAAGAATTCTTGCTTGCTACTTACATCCAGTTTTAACATTTGGCGGTTTCCTGGACAACAGTAGGCAGGCCAAACAATTTCTCAAGGCCTCAGAGATGTGGTTTTATAGAAAAATGCTTAATAAACCTTGGACAGCCAAAAAGAGCTACCAAGATGTATTGAAAGAGGTGGGAGCCCGAAGACAACTTATCACAGACAGATGGAGACAGTCATCATTTTTCGACCATGTTATGAGAAGATTGAAAATAGAACATGTTGTGACCACTGGAAAGATCTGAGAAAGGAGGAGGGACAGAGGAAGACAACAAGAGAAGATTCTTGACACTCTTGCTGCATGGCATGGAAGTATGTCGGCACATAAACTGATACATGCTGCAGGAGATCGCGGATTGTGGAAAGGCATGATCGCCCACACCAGTCCGCAAGGCACTTGATAATGATGATGATAAATTAAAGAAGGATAACAATAATAAAATGTAAGTGGTTATTTGTTGCAATATTGCTAAAGTTTATTCACACTTCATAGTATTTAAACACAAATGCAGGAATTATAATAACAATAATAATAATTTATTCTATTTAATCTTTGACACATTTATGCAAATCTGTACGAAGTAAACAAGTGACTATCTACATTACTGACCTTCTCCTCTCGACTGACACCAGTACCTGCTCCAGCTCCGACATTTTGTGGCTGCATTTCCAAAACAGTCCTGAAAAGATTCTCAGAAGTTTTCGTCAAGAACTCAATCTCAGCATTAGGATGAAGCCCATACAGATAAGGAGATTCAGGAGGCAAGGCTTCATCAATGTAAGTGTGATAACCCTTGTAGTCCATGTTGGGCGGAACTGGGAAAGTTTGGTGCCAGGAAAAGTTCTCCATCAAGCTTGAAACAATCAAACAAGATTTGAGTTACACTGAATTTGATCAATGCAATTTTAGGACTAAAAAAAAACCACACTGAATATTTCTTTAAAATAATTAGGTTTTAAGATTAAAATAAAATGAAGCCTTCTAACAAAAATTAACAATTTAGAAAGTAAAAGTTACTAGACTGAACAGATGACATGTGATGGGAGATGTATCTCAGAAATTAAGAACTGGATAGGATAAGATGAAAGATGTATCTCAGAGATTAAAAACTGAATAGGATGAGAGTTAACTGCTTAGTATAACATTAATAACAGCTTTAAAAAAAATATTTTACTTTAACTCCTGTGGGTGCCCGAGTTATAACTTTTTTTAAGGTTGAATTGGGGTATCTGGGATTTGCCCTACTGGCTTGACATACACTGTGATATTTCTATTTTTATTCTGCACAGTGATCAAAGGGAGTGGCCATTGTGTTGGTGGCTAGACACCCGCCTGCAGGATCAGAAGGTCGTGGGTTCAGGCCCTGATGGAGTTGGATTGTAAAAAAAAAAAAAATGACCTTGACTCCCAGGTCGACCTAGCTGCAGGTGGGTACCAGGTGCAGTCCTGGTAAGTAAAGGTGGCCTGTGTGATGCTGACAACATCATCCACAAAGTGCTGATGGTCTATAAAAATATAGGTCTAGCCCTATATGCCCAATACGCATAAAGCAAGGGAAAAAAAGTCCCTTACATAGTGATCAAACAGGCTAAGGTAGCAGACTGGAGAGGAAAACAATAAATGCCTGTCTTCTGAGGTTAGGAAAAGAATTCTTCCATGATACATAGTAATTTGTAATTAATGTAAACAAGAGAAAAAAAAAACAACAGCAATGAATTAATGTCTTAGAGATGTGGTCATCATCATCATCATAACCACTTCTGCCGTTAAGCGTCTTGGGGAGGAATAATTTGCGATCCAGTGCACACTGGCTGCCACCCACTGGCTATTTTCATGCTGTGAAGTTGTAGAGTGTCTTTAATGTTGTTGATCCACATTTTCCTCTTGCCCTTATTGCTGATCTTCTTAGATATAGTGCTTGTGATGGTATTTGATCTTGCTGCATTTTAAAGAGGTGGCTTCAACCACTTGATCTGCTGTTTCTCGATGAATCTAATACAAGGTATTGTTCGCACAATTTGAATGATAGGTTCATTATTCACTAGATGGTTAGGTTAGCTGCTTTTCTCAGGCATCTCATCTCACAGGTGGTGATTTTGCGTATATGGGCTTTAGATAGTGTCCATGTTTGGCACTGGTAGCTTAATGTTGGAGAATGAACATTGCACTCATAGTTATGCTTGAGATGTGGTTCTACAGAAACATTCTGAAGATTCTTTGATCAAAATGAGTAATCTGAATATTACAAAAGAAGTATGACATGAAGACAATGTATGACAAGCTGTAGAAAGCCATTTATGATATATAGCTGAAGCCATCAAACAAAAGAAAAAATTGAAACATACCATGTCTGGATGCATGTACACTTCCAAGTAGGTACGACACAGAGTTCTGTCCCAGTCATCTGTGATGTGTCCACCATACATGATTTCACCAAACAGGTAGCGGAGATCTTCCCATGGCACCTTTATTATCATACACAAATCAGTAACGCTAACGTACACATTAAACACTATAATGTATTCTTAGTTTATATTATGTAAAACAATGTTTAGCGTAAAAAACAACAACAACAACAAGATAGCAGAAACAGTAAGGTAGTTCCATTGCAAATTCTATCATTATGGTGTTAACTGTTACATCTTCACATATTCTAGTCATGTCTAATAAGGTGAGATAGTAAATTCCTTGTGCACACAAAAGAGCTGAATGGGAATAGACTATACATGTACACTATAAACACTATAATGTATTCTTAGTTTATATAATGTAAAACACTATTTAGCAATACAAAAATATAGCAGAAACAGTAAGGTAGTTCCATTGCACATTCTACCATTATGGTGTGAATTGTTACGTCTCCACATATTCTAGTCATCGCTAATAAGGTGAGGTAGTAAATTCCTTGTGTACACAAAAAAGCTGAATGGGAATAGACTACGAGGCACACTAAGAAGACAGTGGAGAGATAGTATAGGGACAGACCTACAAATACTTAAAGTCACTAAGTGGAAATAAGGCCAGTTACTGGGATGAATGGAGGCAGGTGATATCTGCAGCAATAAAACTCAAGGGAACTGAATGCCGAGGGAGAAGAAGTAAGTTCCATGTCTTGTTATCTTTCCTTCCAGAAAATTGCTTAGTAATCATTTTTTTGAGGCCAGGTTCAACCAAAAAGCTCTGCCAATCAGAAAAATAATCCTTCTACTGTTGGAGACTGAACCGAATAGTGCAATAAAGTTAACAGCCATTCAGATTGACATTAACAAGTACACAGATGCACACAAAAATTTAATGGGTGAAGAAAAGAAAGCATATAATATGACTAGATTTTATAAATAATAGCTAACAGTGAAATTAATTTTTCAAGAATTTCTTGTGATTCTCTTTGTAGCTTATAATTAGAAAACTGTTCAATCAATCAGGTGCTGTTCAAGGTTTATGTAATAGATCTCCAATATGCTGTCTTTTGTCCTGGATGTACACTCCCTTAGACAGTTGTTTGTCAGTCTCTTAATCTTATCCTTCCACTTGCATTACTGTCTGCATCTTACTAACTTCTGTTTAACTTTTCCCCCCAGCATGGTTTTCATAAGAGTGTTATGTTATGTCTTCTACATTGTCAGTGTTTGTGAGTCAGGTGGTATGAACATGCTTCGCAATACCGTGGTGTTTGATCCCAGCTGAAGGTAATTTGGCAGCAGACCATCTTGCATTGGTTTCAACAGTGGTGTTGAGAGCCAAATGTACAGAAAGCAATGGCAAACTACTAAAAGTAAAAATGTAACGTAAAATCATAAACAGCCTAAAACAATGCTGGGATTGGTTCTGCAATATCCTGTAAAGGACATATACACTTAACTTTTATGTCTTTTAAAAAGGCTGAAATATTTGACTTGTTTCTTTTTTTTTTACTTCCTTCTGCAAGTCTCTTTTATCTCCTTCAGCAACTCTCTTTTATTTCCTTCAGCAACTCTCCTTTATTTCCTTCAGCAACTCTCTTTTATTTCCTGCAGAAACTCTCTTTTATTTCCTTCAGCAACCCTCTTTTATTTCCTTCAGAAACTCTCTTTTATTTCCTTCAGCAACCGTCTTTTATTTCTTTTAGCAACTCTCTTTTATTTTCTAGTTTCTACAGATCTTCTTTATTAAAGAACTATTATCTGTACATTAAACAGGAAAGATGCATGCTCTCAAAATTTGCCTCAGATCTGCTTGTGAGTAGAAGAAAAACAAAACTACTTTCTTATTCTCATATGTTTAGCTCACTCACACACACACACACAATTTTTCTGTTCTCAAACCTTGGCATTAGCTTCCAGGTAGTTGTACAACACATTGACACTGATTGTCAGATCTCCAGTGTTGTAAGGATACACTCTGTTCCATCCTTGAGGTCCAAACTTGCGCCTTTCACACACCACAGCATGAAAGTAGCAGAGGGCAAACAATATGGACTTGAATTCACTCTCTCGAGCACACATCTCTAGTGTGTCCTGTGTTTTTAAAAAAGTGAGAGAAGAAAAAGATTAGCATTATTTTTCATTGCTGAATAACTGCATCTGGTGACAAATAGAAAAAATTTTTAAATCATAACATGTATGGTAAGGTGTATAGTAAATTTAACAATGAAATTTAAAACATAAGTAATTATTAAAAAAATTTTTTTTAACAGATGAGATATAATACTTGTAACACTGAGAGACGAAAGCAAAGAATTATAAACTACAAAACATGTTAGAAGAATTTATTGAGGGATGTTAGTTAGAACATGAAGTTCAACTAAAATGATAACCAGTAAGCTAAAATATTAATTAAATGACAATTTTGAACTCAGAAAGAAAATAAAACAAATTCGGCTATCTTCCGAATAACGTTCCCAAATTATCGAGGCAGAAAATATACCCTAACAGGGCCTCAGTCACATGTCAATTGCGCACTTCCGGCAACTTAAATTGCGCACTTCCACCACCGCCGAGAGTATTCCCCAACTCTGCGGGAGCGGTGTGGATTGGGGCTAAACTAGATGGCTGGGACTCACGAGCAGCAGCTATTGCATTTTCTGCAGCTGCCTTGATTTTATTTACTCGTGAGTCCCAGCTCACGCGGCGTGAGGGATACTCTCTGGGGTGGCGGTATAGTCCCCGGAAGTTCGCAATTCGGCGGTGGCGGTATAGTCCCCGGAAATGCACAATTGACATGTGACTGAGGCCCTGTTAGGGTATATTTTCTGCCTCGATAATTTGGGACCGTTATTCGGAAGATAGCCACATATTCAGTAAATTAAAAAGTTAAGACAATTGATGACTGAAAAGGATAAACATTGAGAAACCTGTTAATATTGTGACTAAAAAATCCTTGGTAAAATAAATTAAAGACCTCAGTACACATGTAGAACATTACTAGACAAAGAAATGAATAATATGGGGAGAATTTGGCTTTCCTTGTAAGACTTTCATGGCTGAAGACTTCTACTGGATGGGGAGCTGCTGTGGTGTAGTTGCTAGGCATTCGCCTGCGGATCTGAAAGTCATACTTTAGGTCCTAACAGAGCCAGACTTTGCAAAAAAAATTATTTGGCTCCTAGAATAACTCAGCCTTAAATGGGTATCAGGTACAGTCATGGAAAGTAAAGGTGGCTTACATGATGCTCACCACATTACACACCAAGTGTCGATTGGTCCATAAAATATAGACCTAACCCTATATGCCCAACATGGCATGAAGGTATGGAAAAGGGTGCTTTTTTTTTTTTTTTTTTTTTTATAATCTTTTACTGGATGGCATAGCCACACAAAAAAGATTGATGGTACTAGGTAGAAAACTAACTTAGAATAACTTGATAATACTTAAACAACAATGTCCTTGTTCTGGAACACCTAGGACACAAAAGACAGACCTAAAACACACAAAGTAGAGAAGTAGAAACAGATACAAAATATATTTTAATAGTGAGGACACATACAAGATATTGCACAATTTATTGCTTGGCATATTTCGCTGTGTCTCATCAGATGGATCACTACTGAGTTCGCATCAACATATAAAGAAGCTCAGAACAAATTCATTTCAATGAAATACTCAAATCACACTGTCTTTAGTTTTTCAGAATCCTATAAAATGGAAGTCCAAGATTAACTGACGTAATCACCACTGTAACTGAGGCCAATGCTGTAAGGTGGGCAGAAGAAGGTGAGAGAAGAGAAGGATAAAGAGAATAAGTATGTATTTGTAAGTGGGCGTTTGTAAGCAGGAGGTACTAGATATGTAACATATCAAAATAAAAAAAAAAAGGAATTACTAAAAAACCTGTCGGAATCTGCTAGTTGATTGGTAAGCTTCCATAGTACAAGTGCACTCTGATTCATGACAACTGCCACCCAATTGATGTGGTTATCTATACAAATGATGTATCTTCATGTAGGGAGTCGGCAGTCCGAAACCCAAGTTCAAGGTGTCTCTTTCATGCCAAAGAACTGCATGGCTGTTGGATGAACAGTCGTTAACGAAGGCAGTCAGGTCGTTGTTGGGGCGACGCTTGCTGGTGGATGTAATGTCCTAAATCCCTTCCCCAGCTAATAGTAGGGTACTGCTGGGGTGACAGTTTATTAACCCTCACATAATGCTTCAGGTCCAAATGAACACTAGGCACTGCCACTTTTTTGAGCCGGGGAAAAATTTTTTTTTCTTCTGGCAGACTGTGGCCGTTGCTTTTTTGCTCCATTTGTAGACTGGAAGTATATAGTTTCGTTACCCAGCTTCTGAGTTAAGTGCCTGGCGTGACACTGTGAGCTGTGGATTTCATTTCGAATGTTTTTCGACTGACCAACGTGGTGGTGTGATTTGTAGATTCAGAAAATGGCGCGATGCCGGTTGTCGCAATATTGGTGGGGCCATTATTTGATTAAAATTGATCGCGTGTGCAACTGCTGATCTTGTGGTGACTTCTGCTACCATCAAAGATGAACTGCATTTCTAACGTCAGACTGTTTGTGTTAGCACTTTGGATGGCTACCATATGCTTTTAATGGGAGTGTATGCTAGATTTGCTGAGACAACAGTTTGTCAGTCTTTCCACAAGGGACTGTGATAAACATTCTGTGTGTTTTTCGTTGGCACAGGAGCGGAGCAAAGATGGGGTGACCCGTTTGCTATGAAGCTGAAATTAAAATTACCAGATTACCAGATTATACAAATGGCTCAGTGTTACGAGGTTAAAAAAAGAAAAGAAAAGTGTGTGGGGGTTCATAGCACTGTCTGTCAGAGGCCAGTTCGGCTACGGGATGAACGGAGTTAATGATAGTGAATCATCATGTATGAACGAGCTGACCCTCAGTATAGCTCAGTGTGAGAGTGGGCAACTTGACCACGGAATAAACTGGGTCAAGTTAACTGGCTAAGCCCAAGGTCACACGTTTAACACGGACTACCGCGTGTTGAGTGATGAACGGAGGAGGGGAACAAAAAGCTTGGACAGAGCTGGCGAAGGGAGTTGTGTAGTGGACATTGGACTGGACGAGACGTAGCGCTTTGACTAGGTAGAAGTACATTAGTTTAGTGATGGCTAGAATAAATAGTATTTGTGTTTAGTATCTTTGATAGGCTGTGTTTCCATTTAATGTTTCAACGATATAGTGTAGAGTTAATGTCCCTTGTAAAGTAGACGTTCCACGCAGTATTTGTTAAGCAGCTAGTGAATGTGTGACACGCATTGTTAATGGCGGTATCACTGCCCAGTCACGCTTAGGCCATACACCTTACGTGTGCCGCTGAGTGTCGTGTGGCAATAGACGGCGGCTTAGTTAGCACTGATAAACTGTTAGTTTGGAGTCGTGTCCTTGGGGATCAATGGGAACGGCTTGGGTTGACCAGTGAATGTAAAAGCTGCTCAACGCCAACGTTTCGGAAATGGACTGCCAACTTAGTTGAGGTGTCTCTAGCTGTATTGTTTATTGTACATTAAAGATTATGTTTGTACTCAGCAGGTGCGTGTCTTGAATGTGTCCAGAGTAGTCAAGTCTTTTAGCTGGCCTACATAGCAAGCCATAGAAAATAAATATGGTAAATTAGGTCTCTGACACTGTCCTCATATGATAACCATCAGTGTAACAAAGCCTGGCGTATAATACCACACCACCACCATTGAGTATGGAGATTGAAGCAGTTACTGCAGCTTTCCGATCCACAGGTGAATGTCTAGCCGCTAGACCATGGCGGCTCCAGGTGTTGATAGTTAATGATGCAATTTCTGCACCACCCAACTTATGCACAATCTCTTAGCTGCTTCATGCTAGTACAACACAATTTAAAAACGAATAAATTACCTGATTAAAGTTGTCCAAAGCCTTGTGCAAGTTTGCATACATGCCAGTGGGTGGTTCATTTGTTATCTTGATAGCAGACTCCAGTATACCCTGGGGGATAATGTGAGCATCTGGGCTTCCAGCTGGCTCAGCGCTAATAAACAAGCGGTAGCTTTCATGACTTTCATTAGAGAACTCTTCAATTTTCTTCTCTAGTCTGGACAACCACTTTGCAACAAGATGGACATTCTAAGATTAAAAAAAAATTTTAAAAAATATTTGAAAAAAGCTGATGTAATTACAAATGAGTTTAGTACTACCTAGGCCAGTTCTGGTGCATTAATGATCTTTCTATGCTGCGGCTCAGCGTTAAAGTGATACCAGGCACAGACCTTGGAAGTAAAGGTGGCTGGCGTTTACCACATCACCCAACGAGTGCTGAACGAATATATAAAACATATGTCTAGCCCTATATGCCCAAAAGCCTGAAGGCATGGAAAATGTCTGGCCCGTGACGATCCCTACTTTCAGAATGTTGGCCCCAGAGCAAACTTAGTTGAATAGACCATGAGCAAATAAATCAGTTCTGTTCATAAGTGTTTATGGCTATTACATTATTTCTAGGCTTACGTGTGTTCATTAAAGAAAGCATACAATAGTAACCTAGAATGCAATTGAGGAAGGTTGGTCTGAAACTGGCTACATCATTCTTAGACATTATCGGTGAAAAAATCCAACAAATCAAGAACACTCCTTATTATCAAGTATCACATTTACTTGTTATCAGTGCCAAATGTGGACAATGAACAAATCACATATGCAAAAAATAACTATGTGTGAAATTCGATGTCTCCGAAGAGTCACCAACAATACATGAAGAGACAGAGTCACAAACATCAGCATTAGAGACAAAGTTGGAGCAAGAGCATGCATGGAACATATTGAAAGACAGAGAATGAAGTGGTTTGGCCATTTAGTAAGAATGAAACCGGATCAGATTGCCTATAAGGCCTTTTACAGTAGAACATCAGGAAGAAAGGCCAGAGGAAGACCCAGGAAAAAAATGGAAAGATGGAGTAGCTGAATACGGCCAGAAGATCCAGAAAACTGTCACTCAAATCACGCGAGAGGCACAAAACAAATATTTTAAACCACGACAATGGGCTGCAACCCGGTAAAAGTGAAGAAGACAATAGATAGATAGATCACATTTACTCCCACATATCATGTATTACCTTTACAGTTTTGCATCTAATCCCTAATTTCAGTGTAAATAAAGGGCACATTTTTAGCACTAGAGTAATCCCAGTGTGGGTTCTGGGGCTCCATTTTTGGGCTGGTTCGGGGTAAGGGGGATAGACCAAGTGCCCCCTTAACTCAACAAGTTCTGGAACAAGACCAAAGTCCAGAAGTGAACAAACAGCCAGAACTTTCAGCTGTAGTTTACAACTGATGAACACTAAGATGAAAAGAAGAAGAAGAAGAAGAAGAAGAAGAAGAAGAAGAAGAAGAAGAAGAAGAAGAAGAAGAAGAAGAAGAAGAAGAAGAAGAAGAAGAAGAAGAAGAAGAAGAAGAAGAAGAAGAAGCACCGTAGTTTGACTGTTAAAATAAAATTATATTAATTTTTTTCTACAGCTTTCTAAACACCGTTTAGATACTCTGACATGATGTAAATTGTAAATTATAGGGCAATTGTTTGCTCAGTAGTTCCTGACTCTTTAAAAACAGAAGGGGTACAAGAGCCATTTATAAAGATGAGAAGAATCTCAAAGGCCAGTAGCATTTTCAGCAGACTTTATAATAACATTTAGAATCAAAATGGTATCTCCTTGCAGACAAAGCTAAGGGTCTGCAGGGATAAAGTCTTACAAATACTATTTTACTCATGTGAAAGGTGTACAGTGTATCAGCACCTTGTAAAACAGCTAAATCAGTTTTCTAAAGCCTGTCTTAGAAAGCTACTAAAAGTCAAATGGCAGAATATGATTCTGATTACTGTGGTTCTCACTAAGGCAAAGCTGCCAAGCATTCATAAAATACTGAAGAAATACAAAATCCACTGGGCTGGTCACAGAGTAACAGATACCAGACCGTCAGTTTTCAAAACAAATATTTTAAGGGAATTCCGGCATGGGAAAAAATCCGCAGGCTGATGGAAAAAAGTCACTAAGGACACTCTCATAATTGCTTTTAAATCTGTTGGCATTAAAACATAAAAATGGAAGACTGTTGCACAAGACCGATCTGAATGGTGTACTGTCCTCAAGTATAGTGCATTTGCTTGCCTGCAAGACGGTGGAAGCTGCACTGAATAGAAATAGAGGCAGACTAGAAATAACAGTGTTGCAAATCTCACTTTTCTCTGCTGTTCAAGAACTTTCCAAGCTCAAATTGGACTCATTACTCAGTAAATGATAATAAATGTTTTTTTTTTCAATGCTGAGTGGTCTTCATCACTTGTGGTGGACAAACAACACATAAAGAAAATTACTATATTTATAACGCTGGTAACAAGTTGCAAAAAAAAAAAAAAGTTCATATATAGTCTTTTTCTTAAAAAAATGAGCAGCAGTTTAACATCAGTGGAGGTGTGTTTATGAGAAGTGAAAGTGATAGTTCATTGTTCTCTTTACAATCCAAGAATATTATCTACATTATCTATTACAACATACCTGCAAAACAACCCAGTGACCCTCTTTGGCAGCCAAATCCATCGCCTGTTCAGCAACAATTTCCTGTCCTTGACCGAGAGAGATGTTGTGAAAGTTGTTGTTGTCAGTTGTAAATTTCATTTTCTTGCCCAAGCTTTCTACATCCTTCAATGGATCAACCCCGGGAGATAGGATGAAGAAAATAGGGGTTGCAGGACTAGATTCCTCAAATGACTTGGCAAATTCCACAGATCTCCCTTCCACATACTTAGCTCCAAGCATTTCTTCAATAAAGTTTCTGTTGACAGAGTTATAATTTTGTTAGTTTTTAATACGTAAGCACCACAAAAAGAAAATGTAAAAAGGCAGATAAATTACAATATCATATAAAGACTATCATAAGATTTTGGTCATCATAAGAAACAAGATAGTCTGGAGAGAGATCTGTGAGAACTGGGATGATGCAGTATATCAGAGACAGAGGTAGATGTGGTGGGAAAATGATGGACAGTTGGGCTAAACCAGTAAGGTTAGTAAAAGAGCTAATTTTGAGTTCTCATAGAGGTTCATTGCAAAAGCAAACAGACGTTGCCTAATGCAACAAATCCTGGCATATGATAACACGTCTAGTTCAGTGATCCCCAAACTGTGCGCCGCTGCACCCCGGAAATATTGTAAAAGCTTAATAATTAATTTAACCAAGACATTTGGCCTAACTAAACAAAAACGTGAGAAGCTAAAATTATGTAGATTTGATTTGTGTGATTTGTTTTTAGTTGACCCTTATGAAAATAAAGGCACCAGCGCAGAATATCCCTACGAACACGTGCCGACAACACTGCGTGACATTAAATTAATGTGTTCTCAATCGTGCCATATGATCGTACTTGACACGTCAAGATGCCCAGATTCTTCGTGACAGATTTGGAATGTTCTGGAAGATATTGCTGAAAGTATATAAGCACGCTTTACCGGCTCTATTCAGTAAGTCGACACTGACTTACAATTTAAGTCTAGCAAAGTTAGGCTCAGCGCTTTGTTGTAATTAGTTAGTTATATGACTTTTTGTTTGTTATTTTTGATAAATAGTTTTGTGATTTTTGGCTCTTATATTTTTTATAATGGACTGATTTTTGAACAGTAATAGTGCGGTCGCTGTAACAAAAAAGCAAGTATAGAGCAAAAATCAACATGGAAAATAAAATAAGGGGGCGGTGTCCAGCTTGATTCTACGATTTGAGAAAATGTGCAGTGTTTTACAGGCTCTTCCATCACAATAGTTGTTAATTTAATGTTAATAGAGAAAAAATAACGAAGATACACCAGTTTTTATTTGTTTTTATCTCTTACTTATGAATAGTTATACTTTTACTTAGGTTAGGGCGCCGAGGAAAATTTTAATTGAAAAAAGGCACCGCGACTAAGAAAGGTTTAGGAAACACTGGTCTAGTTTGAAAATGGAGGTGGAGGCAGTCACTGCTGCCTTCTGCTGGATTAAGAATCAGCTGTATACACATGTTGTATTTGTAACTGACTCACAGAGAATGTTGAGAAAGGTGGAGACAGGCATGCTCCATGCAGAGTTGCAAGCATTACTTCAGAGGTCCCAGGTAGTTAGCGTCCTTTGGATATTTTCTCCAGGTTATGCTGGTGTGTTGGGAAATGAGCAGGAAGATAAACTGGCTGGTTCTGCACCACTTGGTGTTGAAATGATGTATGATAAGCTAGATGTTGTGAGGGCCCTTTGTAGCGAGTGAACAGTGCAGAAGTGCAAAGAGATCATTACGGTCTGAGGATTTGGCGCTGCGGGAATTTACCAAGAGGTCTAGCCAATGCTCAACATTTGTTGAGGTAAAGTCGAGATGGATGCACAGTCACACAGTTACTAGTACCATCAGAACTAGTTTTCTTCACTTGCTGGTGAAGAGGGGGGATGGAGCACTTATGGGAGTGTCCAGAGAGCTATGATGTCGATTTTTAATTCAACCTTCAACATTCTTAGTTCTCAAAGATTCTGATTCACGTAAAACAAAACACCTATTAATAAGGAGCCAACTGTTTTGAACAATAAAAAAAAAAAAAAAAGACAAAATATACTGAAAATGAAATAAATTCCTGGACCGTTTGATATGATGGTATGGAAGATCATCTGTATCAAAACTGATTAAAAGTACACAAGACAGAAGGTTCCGGACAGTTATGACTACCAATGCCACACAGCGTGGACCATAAGAAGAAGGTAAACAAAAGTGGTAACTCCATGCAAATTATCACTTTTTCAAAAGCGGTTTCATCATCATCATGTAGCAGGTTCTTTGCAGAACGTCACTCTCATCACAGTCTGCCTGAAAGAAACTCGGTCTCTCACCAGTTCTCCCGCCTCATGCACTTTCATACTCAAGGAGTCACTTATATCCTGTGCCCATCTTCATGTCGGTCGGCCCCTGCCCCTCCTTCCTGGTACCATGCCTTCTGCTATAATTTTTTCCAATCCGTTGTGACGTTTGATATGACCAAAATATTTTAGCTTTTGGAGAGGATGCTGTTTATTAGCCAATCTTCCTTGATGTTCAGATCTTTTAAGATGTCAATATTTCTCATCTTCTTTGTCCAAGATATTGAGAATCTCTCTATAGCATTTCAGCTCAAAAGCCCCCATTCTCTTTCTTAAGGACTCTTAAGCGGTTTACACTTACGTGATAGCATACGTCATTCTGTCAGGTCTGAGCGCACGCATCATGCACAGTTTCTGAAGGGATGTTTTATTTTTCCACTCTTGAGGAAACTTTTCTTTCTCTGGGCACTCACTCTCTACAAACTTCTTCCACCGTTTAGCAGAACCCTCAATGTCTCTGTCAAGGTTGCGGAATTCTTCCATTGATGAAAGAGCCTGGAAGATATGCATTTAAAATTTAATATAAATAAAATTCAGAAATCAATACGTTTTTGAAACAATAAATAAGAAATAGCTTTGATATAATAGCAACAATATAGATATAGCATACTACATAGCAAAATAGATACAGTACACAAGACACACAGTTCACAACACAACAATACAGATATAGTAAAAACAAAAACAATACAATTATAGTAAACTATACACCAATACATTAGTATACAAAACAACAACATACAAACAGCAGACAGCAGAACAGATATACTGTACTATAAAATACAAAAACATAGTTATAGTATTTAGTTAGTTAGTTAGTTAGTTGGGTTATCATCATTGCACTCCGGACATGTCCATAGGTGCTCAGATCCTCCCCTAAGTATGAATCCCAACGTCCGATGGCTAATAGTACCAGTTCTATGTTGATTACAAGTCTTCTGACGTGTCCGGTGTGCGTCTCGTTTTTTGCTGTGCCGATCTTAATTCCCAAGTCTGCCATTCTGGCGAGTGATGTGGATTCACTGCCACCAAAGTCCTCTATCCTTCCCATTTCTCTGAGGGCATTGATAATATCAGCATGATCCATAGGCCGACCGTCGGTAGTGATAGCGGATCCAGCCAACCTGTCAGCTCTTTCATTTCCATCGACGCCTGTTATAGTATATACACAACAACATAGTTATAGTATTCACCACACCAACATATATACAGTATACAACAACATAGTTATAATATACATCAAGACAACAGATTCAGTGCACAACAACATAGTTATAATATGTTAGTTAGTTAATTGAGAAAATAACCTCCTTGCACATAAAACCATTCAGTCAGTAAGTGCTCGTATTCCCTCCTCAGTTAATCCCACAGTGTATAATGGCTGACGTGATCAGTTCTGTGTTGGTTTCTTTTTTCTTCTTTGGCTTCCTACATTGTGCTTGAGGCTGGCAACACCCCTTTCAGTATACTGTTCTAGCAGTCTAATCATGGTTGCAGATTTAGTCATCACTTGGTTTTCACAAACACCTAACATTTTGTTGAGCAGCCTGCAGCCTGGTCTGTGGCTCATCTGCCCTCCACCATAGCTTTACTTGCAAGCCTATCAGATCGCTCATTTCCTTGCATACCTGCATGTCCTGGCACAAATATAAAACTGACATTTGTCAGCCCCAATGGCTTCAGAGCTCCAACCACTGTGTTCAAACCCACCTCTATCTTCTTGAGCACTGAGTCATAGTTATAGTATTCAATACAATAACATATATATAGTACTGACTGCTCTGTACTGTAGCATACAACACAATAGTATCGATAAAGTACACAACACAACAACATACATATGGTACAAGATTATGTACATACAGTTCACTACAACGCAGTCATCATGTACAACATAATCAAATAGATATACCCACCTTGATGCCTCCCCACGAGTTATTGTTTAGGAAGTCAACTGGTGAGGTCAGATTTGGAACAAAGGGAAATCGCAACAGGAAGTCTAGTTCAACTGGATTCAGCTGCTTGTTCATTAGTAGAATCTACAATACATGTGATAAAAAAATAAACTAAATGAATGTCCTCCTTAATGAAGTATACAAATGTAAACATCTGCGGCTTAGGAATTATGAAAACAGTTGCATAATTCTGACATTCCAGGGTTCAAAGTCAGCTGCAGGCAATATGGCAGCAAACTGCTTTGAACTAATTGTGTCAAAAGTATGAATCTTGCACAGTTCAGAAAGTTACTGTAAAATACCATGGAATTTAAAAATTACCTAGAAAATTACAAATGTCCAATGAATGCTAGAACTGGTTTCTGATATTCTGTACAGGTATGTCTTTAACTTGATTTAATCAGGTCAAAAAATTTTTTTTAATGAAGTTTGAGTGAATTATTCTTAATACTAATGATATTCTTCAATGGCTGCTTTTTTCCAGACTTGAAACATACTTTGCAATTACATGATGTCAGTATTCATATAAAACTGTCAATTCAATGTTATTATTAATTAGTTTACACATTTAATTAACTGTCTCCTTGTGTGATTTTAAAAAAAAGTTATGTTACAACAGATTTCAAGAGATGACAGTCAAATGCAACCTAACATAATATTATCAAGAGTTATGTTTGCATGACTACTTGCAAATACAAATTAAATAACTAATTTTGAGAATGCAACTTCTAGGCTGCCTTGTGTTACTAGGGCCTTCATGGGAAGCAAAGCATAGTAACACTGCTTCTTACCAGGTGCTTTGTATGTGTTTGTCATACTGTGAAGCTCGCTGATATACTTTTTGTTCAGTTTTATATCTTTCCTAATTTTTTACCAGGCATGTCATAAGAGGTGACAAAGGGTAGGGCTGAGCTTGGTAGAGCCGCCTACCTTATCATGTAAAAAAAAAAAAGCCACAAAAATCAACCAACCATGAAACAGTCTAGAAAAATAGCAAGTAATATCCAGTCAGCCTGGGGAGGGGTGGGGGGAGGTGAGGCTCTTCTAATAGAAGGATGATGTGGTGAGGAGAAAGCTAAAAGGAGTATGGATCACCGAAGTGTCACTTTTACCTAGGAAAATCTCTAGAAATGGCGTCTGTAATAAAGAACTAACTAGAGTTATGTCAAAAAGATAGAAGGATATGGAATAAGATGCATGAAATAGCAAAGGAATTGGTTGGAATTGGATGAGGGCCAATGCTTCATTTGGCGATAAAGGGCAGAAGAGAGAAGGACAAGAAATTTATAGTTCAATGTTTTCACTGAGACCATTATTGTCTTCATCGGCTCATTTCAAACTATAGTTTCATTCCTCAATAAATAAATATTCACATAATTACAGTCATCGTCAACATCTTAGAGAAAATATAATTATTTCTATAAATCAGATCAAAGCTCCTTGGCCTCAAATATTGTTAAAAATAAATGCAAAGTTAACTCTTTGAGTCCCAAGAAACGCATCATACGTTCATAGGTTCCTACCTAGAAGCCCAATGAACGCATGATGCGCCGATTTTATTACTTTCTTTACTACTCTCTGGGCCTGTGATGCTAAACCCCCTGGGACTCAAAGAGTTAAACACACACACACATTATTTTTTTTTTCAACTGACCAAAAAGGTCATTTGTGTGCTGAAAATTAACTTGTCCTTCTCAAAAAGCCCTCTGGTGGTGTAAGTGTACACAGAGAAGGTGATGCAGTCAATGAGATTGTTGACTCTCTGTTTCAGCTCCTCAGATACTTCAGCTCGGTCAATTGCCTTGTCAAACACAACATTGAAAGCCTGTGTGATAAAAATGATAAAAATGGTTAAAAAATTAATCCCCACAAGAAAAGACAGAATATGTAAAGTAGGTGTTCCTTTCCACTCCTTTATGTATACTAGTCACATAATGTTGAAGGTTGAATCAAGAAATTTCTATCATAGCACTTGGGACACTCCCATAAGTGCTCCAACCCCATCTTCAGCAGCAAATGAAGAGTTCTAATTCTGATGGTACCAGTATCTGTCTGACTGTACATATGTACCTTCCCTTGAGTGCTGAGCATCGGCCAGCTTCCCTTGTAACTCCCTGCAGCACCATTCTCCTCAGACTATAATAATCTATTTGTGCTTCCGCACTGTTCACTCGCTCCCAAAGAGTCCTCGCAACATCTAGCTTGTCATACATCAGTTCACCATTTGCAAAACTGGCCAGTCTATCTGCTGCTCATTTCCCAACACATCAGCTTCACCTGGAGAAAATATCCAAAGGACGCTAACTACCTGGGACCTCTGTAGCAATGCTTGCCACTCTGAATGGAGCATGCCTGTCTCCACCTTTCTTAACATTCTCTGAGTTAGTTTAAATTATGACATGTGTGTACAGCCGATTCTTAATCCAGCGGAAAGCAGCATTCTCAAACTAGACGTTTTGTTATCATATACTAGGTTTTGTTGCACTAAGCGATGTCCATTCGCTTTTGCTATGAACTCCCATGCACTTCGTCTGCTCCTCACCACAGAGCCATCTGTATAGATAATCACATCACATGGGAGAGAATTATCAGAATGATTTGTTGAACTTCTCATTCTGCCCCACTCCTTTACTCGCCCAAATTTATCAAGCCTGCACACACGTCTAATTGTGTCTTCAGCCTGCACCATCCAAGACCTTCCTCTTTTCAGTCTGTGACCCTCAGCTCTACCTCAGGCTTCATGCAAGAGGTGCTTCTTGTCTGCAGCTACTCTGAGATATGACTTTGCTTGCAGAACTTTGAGCCTATTTGCAACAGTAGGCAGTGCAATTATATATTGCATACATACTACCAGGGTATCTCTTGTACATACCAGAATCACCATGGCTTTATTCTGTATGCGTTCAAGTTTCATCAGCTGACTCTTTGATATGGTAAGCATTTCAAGTCCATATTCTATCATTAACAAGATCACATGCTGGAACCCCCATGTGGGTTCCGGGGCCCCATTGTGGGGAAAACAAGAATAGACCCACTGCCTTCCCAAAAGCATGTCGTGAGAGTTGACTAATTGGGGAGCTTCCTTTGAAGTCGGAGTGCATCTGCCGGAGAGGTAAGGAACCAACAGTCTGTATTCAAGAGAATAAAATCTGTAAAACTGATGCACACACAACACTCAGGTTCTGGAGCAGGACTGCAGTTCAGTAGTGGACGAGCAACCAGAACTTTCCGCCAGAGTTTGCAGCTGGTGAACACGAAGAAGAAGAAGACATGCTGGAACATTGTGGACAGATTCTTCATTCCATGTCCAATGCTGCTACAATCTTGAGAGCACTGAGTCCTTCATGGCATTTTACCCCAACTGCCTCCACATGATGCCTGAAGGACAGGCTCCTATCGCAAATGATACCCAGGTACCTCAGTTTGCTATCTCTTTTGATGTTTCTGTCACTAATTGTGAGGCTTGGAACATTAGCTCTTACAATTTTATTGTAATGAAACAACCACCTTTTAAGGGTTGATGACAGCTCCCATCTCTGCACACCAATCAGTTGCTTTGTCTACAGTTGCCTGTGGCTCTTGGGTTATTCATTGCCTATCACGCCCCTGCCTATATGCAAGAGCATCACCCGCAAATGTCAATATCTTTCCAACACCTGGTACTTCCTGTTCTCCAGTCTTGTTTGTATACACACTTGAAGAGCACTTGTGAAATTGCAGAACCCTGGGTTAGTCCCTCGGATAGTCACATAATGCTAACCCTTTATTCTTATAAACCTTTAACAGGCAGATAGATTGCCTGGTTCTGCACCACTTGGTGGTAAATTGATGTATGACAAGCTACATGTTGTCATAGTTCAGAATGTTATTAGTCCAGATTTATTTTACCTGTCCTTTCACTATTTGTCACAAAGAGTACCATAAATACGAATTGTTAGCAAGGCTTAATAGTGAGAAACAAGGTCAAAGCAAGCAAAAATTTCACTATTGACAAGAGTGAATCTTGTTAACCCTTTCGCTGCTGCGCCCTCCGCCAGCCAACGTAACTACTGTGCTAAGCCAGGCGAGAGCTAATCTTTCCCCCTGTGCTGAATACCGTTTTTTCCTTCAAAAGCAGAAGACGCGCTTGCGGCACGGGGTAAAAATTGTACACCTAAAATAAAAAATCGTTGAAGGCGTGTGGTTGAACTTTGCGCTGACAAGTCAGATGCGCTATTACTACGCCGTGAAAACTCATTAACAAAAAGAAAACACTACAAACTTACAAAGCAAACACAAAACACTTTAGTAAGCAAATACATGGTTTTTATTATTATTAATAATATCTTTGTGTGTGAAATATTTCAAAACAAGGTGCGACACACAATGCCAAATCACATTCCTTGCACATGTATCTGGTTTTCCGTCGTTTTTTTGCTTTTTGCGCATACCACACACTTTCTGGTTGGGAATTTTTTCTGCGATGTTACGGACTCTATTATTGAAGGGAAATGCCTTTGTACTAAACGAAGTGGCAGATCTTCACTTTTTTGTCCTCCTACACTTTTTCTCTTTTCCTTGCAATATTTATGTAGAATTTCTCTGACTAACATTAAGTGAAATTCGGCAACAGGTGTGTTTTCCCCCCACAACAACTTTATATAATGAATGTGCACAGTACACCAATCACGCTTCACATAACGTGTAAAGCATCTAAATCCACGTGACAGGATGTTTAATTAATTATTACTTTGGTTATCTGTTGCCGAAAATGCTAACAGCTTAAATTTAAAATTTGAATTTAAAATAATTAATTTAAAAAAAAAAACGGCACGTAGGGGTTAAACGCTGGACCTTTCGATTGTAAGGCAGACGTGATACCAACTACACTAGAAATTCACATGAAATTATGAACTGAAAAAAAGACCAGTATTGACATTGTACACTTTAATAGACAAACACATTTATGTCAGATGTATAGTATATAATTAACATTAATATTAATCATCACGTCAGTACGTGATGATTTTTTTTTTTTTTTGATTATTTTGGATCCGTTTCAAATCCAGTCGATGTAGATAGCTAGGTCATATGGTCACTGGTCAGTCTTGTTCACAGCCAGAAGTACACGTGTCCGCCGGCGTGCCGCGAAGATAACCCAGCTCATATAACTCACACTTTCAAAGTGATCCTTACTACTACTCCTTGAAAGAAACTCAATTAATTCTTCTTTATTTAAACAAATGTTCTTGTTATTTTGTATTTAAAAAAAAAAAAAAATTAGACTAACGCAAAACCAAAAATATATTTCAGGGCAAAAAAATTACCGATCACCGACAATGCTTCTATGGTAACAAAGAAACAGGATAACGTGAAATGCATCTAAATACGCCTAAACTCACTTGATAAGAGTTTTAATTGTATGTAAACGGGTCAGTTTGATCAGATTAAGTTAATGTGTATTGCTATTTCACCCCTAAGAATTACTGTCCTTAGCAATCTGTAAAAAAAATGTCTAGAACGAGATATCTCGTCCTTAGCAGTGAGGGCACAGAAAATTGCAGCCGAGTTATCTCGTCTTTAGCAGTCTGCCGGGCAGACGAGTTATCTCGTCCATAGCAGCGAAAGGGTTAAGGGCTTTTATATTGTTCCCCCCCCCTCCCCCCACCTCTTTGAATTGATCAAGGCTCAAAGGTCAATTCAAAGTAAAATGGTTACCATAAGTTTTCCAGGGAAGTAAAGGTAACCAGCATAATATGAGTCTATCACCATATGTCTTGTGTGATTCCAGTACTAACCTATGGATGCGAGAGTTGGAAATCAACGAAAACTCTAGACACAAAATTAGACAGTTTTGAAAATAAATGCCTTAGAAGAATACTAAATTTCAAATGGTCAGATTTCCGAACCAATACACAAATAAGGCAAGAATCCAGGCAAGAGTATGTGTCTAATTTTATACGAAAACGCCGCTGGAACTATGTCGGCCACGTCCTTAGAATGGATAAATCAAGACTTCCTTACCAAGCCCTCATTTGGACACCACAGGGGAAAAGATCTCGTGGAAGACCAAGGGAAACCCTACGTAGAACTATCATCAGGGAAGGCTCGCTCATGGGCCACTCAAACATCCAAGACCTACAACGGATTGCAACGGACCGCCGTGCATGGAGAGTCACGACCTCTGCCCTATGTGCCGCACTCGACACAAGAGGAAAGACTAACTAACTAACCATATGCCCAATTCATCAATGGTGTGAAAAAGGTTCTTTACTTATATTAAATATGAAATGAAATAAAACTTAAAAACATACAAAAACATTCAACAAAAAAAAAAAAAAAAATGACCTTGAGAGAGAATTGGTACATTGGGTTGATCTTATAAAGATCATTCATGACAAAGTATAACAGTGATGCTCTGGCTGCGGCCGTTCTGTAGTTTTCTCTGGCATTGTTGATCTCTACTTCAGTAACTTTGGCCTCAGCAGCCTTGACCTCAATCTCAGCTGCAGTTCTTTTGGTAGTTTCCAGGTTTTCCACAAGGGCATAATCACCTAGGAAATTGCCTTCTGCAGCAGAAAGACGGGCTAGAAGGTTGTCCTCAAGTTCTGTGTGAGACAGATAAAGTCTGAATATATGGTGCTTTTAAAACAATTAAAACAGATCTGTAATATTCTTTTATCTCATTGTTTTAATAAAAAAAATGACTATGTGTTGCCTTATCAATCAGTATTTGTTTTAATGCTAATAACCAAAATGTTATAATGTTACAAAGCTAATGATTTTAATTTTAAAGGCTGCAAAAAAGAGAGTTAATCAAATGTTTTAGTTTTCTAAACCTCAAAAGCTCTTTGCTACAAGCATTTTTATTTCAGCTGTTATCTACATTGATGAATAACTTTTGTTTTGCTTAATGCTTTTTTTGGGCCTTATTATTCCTTCTTAACATTACTCCAAAACTACATTTTGAGTTTTATAGTGTATGTTATTGGTAATCTTGGTTATCTTAATTCCAGCTTCATAGCAAACGGGTCACCCCATAGTTGCTCCGCTCCTGTGCCAATGAAAAACACACAGAATGTTCATTACAGTCCCTTATGGAAAGATTGACAGACTGCTATCTCAGCATATGCACTAGGATACACATGCATTAAAAGCATACGGTAGCCATCAGAAGTTCTAAAACAAACAGCCCAACATTAGAAATGCAGATCATCTTAGTCGCTGTAGCTACCATCAGATCAGCAGTTGCACACACAATCAGTTTTAATCACATAAGGGCACCACCAATATTGCGATGACAGGCCACTTGCCATATTCTGAATCTACAATACACGACACCATGTTGGCCACAGCCAAAAAACATTCCAAATGAAATCTGCAGCTCACAATGTTGTGCCATGCACTCAACTCAGTAGCTGGGCAACGAAACTATATCTGTTCAGTCTACAAATGCAGCAAAAATGCAACGGCGACCATCTGGCAGAGGCAACAATTTTGCCACGACTCAAAAATAGTGACAGTGCATAGTGTCCATTTGACAGTGTATGTTATTACCATGTTCCAATCTCTGTACTCTTTATTTGTCATGATCTAGTGTATCTAGTGAACTTCTTACATATTATTTAATATTAACACTTAACATTAATAATGCTTTTATCAATTTACTCAGCTTCTTTGCAAAAACATTTTTAAAAAAAGCATTACTTTGTACTTTTATTAAAATACATTTTACCAATAACCACAGTGTTCAAATATTTTTCAAATAGCAATTCAAGAACAATTAGTATAACACTGAAACCTTTCAGAGTAATCTTGAACTCATTTTGCTGGCGTGTGAGGTCAGATTTCAGTTTCTCTAGATCTGGTCTTTCCTTTGAAACAACTGCTCCCAGAAGTTGGTCTTCCAGTCCATCCCTAATAAAAAGAAAAGAAAAAAATTGAGAAGATATGTATCAAATCAATTTAATGTCTAGTTAACTACTTAAAAAATGAAGAAAAAATTGAATTAAAGATTAAGACATCAAAGGAAATAAATACAGAAACTCAATAACAAGTAAAGCAGTTAGGAAATAGCCACTATATGAGAAATCATAGGTGCATTACTTTTAACTTATTTGGTACCAAGCCCAACACATGCATTCTTTAGTTATTCCATTCATGTGTTAGTGTTATTTACCTCTTTTTTTTTCTGTCAATAAAAGCTGCAGAAGGAACCCAACCCAAACACCCCCCCCCCCCCCCATTTTTCCAAAAAACACTATAACCTCTAAATCTATTTTTTTAATGTTTTTTTGGGGGGATTCAAATATTTGTTACTTAACCCATTCTGTATCATTAATGACTTCAACTTCTTTTTATAAAGGCAGTAATCAGTAGTCGTGGTGTTAGGAACAAAAAAGAGTGTTTTTTTTTCTCTCTTCTTTTTCTTCCTCCATCTATCTTATCGAAGCATTGGGGGAAATGTAAAGATTTTCTGTGTGCTCTTTCCATTTGATTCTACATGTCAATCTTCATTTCTTGATTTTGTAATTTCACATATGTGCAGTCACTCTATTCATTATATTTTATTGTATTTAATACAAAGGCATTCTCATCAGACTGCCAAATCATCTCATCAAAAAGACTTTAAGAAAATAACAAAACATAGCTGAATGGCCACTATAGAAAAGAAACTAAAAACATTGCAGAATGACCACTGTAGATACTTTATTTATATACTATGCTCTGATAAATATCAAAATAAAGAAAACATATTTCTTGATGGTTTGAATTTATAATGTCTTTAAACAGATTCAAAGGACTTTTTCCCCACCTTCAGGCGTTCTGGGCATATAGTGCTAGTTTTTTATAGACAAATCAGCATTTCTTGGCTGATGTAGTCAGCATCACCCTGGCTGCCTTCACTTCCAAGGATTTTACCTGGTGCCTATTTTAAGCTGGGTCAACCTGGAAGCCAAGATAATTTAAAAAACAAATCTAGCTTGATGCAGATTTGAACCCACAACCTTTGGGCTGGGGCCAACATCTGGCCACATCCCCACGGTGACTCTTTAAACAGACAGAAATAAATTTAGAAAAAAAAAATCTTAGAAACAAAATAATTTCTGGTTAGAAATATAAGAAAAACAGCAATTTATCGCTGTAAAACAACAGACCTCTGGTTCATAGAAACTACATTTATGTTGTCTCCACAATGAAGATTGGCTACAGTGTACTTTCTGCTGTCTTTGAAAATACTGTGTGATGAGGCTCCTATCACTTAAAACTGTCCAGAATATTTTTTTTAAAAATACAATTAAAATACAAATACCATCCAGCTGCAGAAATCAAATCCTAGTCCTCAAAGATCATGAAATTGTTTAAACACATTCAGTAACCTCTTAGCTTTAAAATGCAATAAAGGTCAGACTGACATGGCCTGGGGTACACTGGGAAATGATGCTATTTTTAAAGACCATTTAGCTTTTGGTTTATGCCCATGCTCACTGATGTCAGAATTAGAGTGGTTCATAACTCATTGTGACTTACTTCCCTTGAAATGGGATTGAAATTGTAATGAATAAGTGTAAACAAAATGTATAGTTCCTACCTAGTAACAGTAAAATTGATCAATGTTGTCTGTGCTTGCATCTCAGGCTTGTAGTGAGGATTGGCAAGTTTTGTTTGTAGGATCAGTTTGAAGTCTTTATGGTACTCTACTTCTTTGTCTCCAATCTAAAAATAACATCAACACACTTGACCAATTTACAAAAATGTCAACAAACTATCTTTTATGTTTTATCTGTAAATTTAATTTCTAATTTCAGAATATTTCAATTTACAACATAAAAATGTCAGCTGTCTATGTTTTCACAGACAACAGATAAAATACTCTGAAAGTAATTACAAAAATATATTATGTTTTACTACTATATGTGGTACTATATGCACACTTGCCTATAACGTCACAATAACTAGTATGAGAATGGAGGTAGAGGTATTAATGGTAGATTTTGGATGGCTGGTTCCCACGTTATAATTGTAAAGGATTCCAGAGCACGCTTCGGAAAATTGAAACTGCCATCCTACATATAGAGTGAAAATATGGGGGTGACTGCAATCAAGCTAATACACAGGTATTCCAGAGAAATTAGACTAAAAAGCTCACAAAATGGGGAAGCAGAAAAACGTGAACAAAATAACACAACGTAACGTTTCGGCCGGGCAGTCTTTTTCAAACATAAGTCACATGTAGAGTGCAGAGTGTGTCGAGTAATCAGCAGGCCGATAGAATGGCTGATGCCACTCCTCTAGGTGGTGAGCTACTTTTTAATGAAGCAGACTCGGTGCAGGGTCTCTGAGATCCAATGGACAGTGCAAAAGAACAGACAGAGAATCCATACACTGAAAAACTAATTCAATGGGGTTGAGTAGAATTTCTGGAAAAACCTGAAGGGGGAACACAGATGGACTTTCAATCAGTTTTCATCTGGTACTATTAGCATGTCGACTCTTTGATGGTTACCGTTGAACAAGACTGAGCATGAGGGGAATGAAAATCTCAAATGCAGTGATGTCATTTTATTGATTCACTACTCTATGTTTTTCAGAGGGAATCGGTCAGTAGGTGTCCAGATTCTGTCAACATATATCAGTAGGTGCATATTTAATTGTTTTTTAAAATACTTGCTGTGCAGAAATTTGTCATTTTCTCATATGTTGTTTGATGAATATGTTATTAAATTTCTTTAAATTTGGGCTTTTTCTCATAGTCCATGACATATGGAGCTGGCAATTCTTTCTGTTCACAACCTTCTATTGAATGTGCAGTTCATTTTCGCTATTTCACTCCATCTCGGGAGCTCAGAGATTTCATAGGGAATTCCTAGGAGGTTTCCCGAACAGTCCTATGGTATGGGGGGTAAGGGTTAGTGTTAGTCCTATATTCCAGGGGTATTGCATGTTATTTGTTTTCATCATTTATTGTGTCATCATGTCCGGTATGTGTTACATTCATTCGTCGCTACCATAGGGCCCTGTTTGGAAACAAGTGTTCTTACTTTGTGACTTCGCCTGCGCCATGAATTTTCTCACCCTAACCCACTAGTATGTTGTTGTTTGTCCATTACCATGACCAGTCCTTTCATCCGGTGGTGTCTGGGTTAGATTTTGTGAGTGCGATAATGGCTGATAAGACCAGTTCTAGCACTGAAAGTTCTTCTGGTGATTTGCTTCAGTGTCTTTCCTGGCTTGTCATTTCTGAATTGCTGCTGCAGTTCTAGCAGCATCATGGGCCACAGCTCCTGAATGAAGAGAGGAGCGCGCGGATGAGTGGTCACATGCAGTGACTTCCCAGGTTTTAAGATCAATACAGAAGTCTTTCAGTGAGGTCTTGGGGCGCCCTTAACACGTTTTTTTTTCTGTCCACCTTGACAGCGTTTTCCTTTTAGTAGCTCACCATAGAAAATTCTTTATGGCAATCGGTGGTCAGGCATGCAGACCATATGACCTGCCCAGCGAAGCTGTGGTTGTTTTAGAATCGTGTAAATACTGGACAGTCCAGCTCTGTCAAGGACTTCGGTGTCAGGGATCCTGTTTATGTTCAGCAACTTTCTGAGACACGCTGTGTGGAAATGGTTCAGCTTCTTAGGATGGTGCTGGTAAAATGGTCCATGTTTTACATGCATAGAGAAGTACAAGAAGTATCACAGCTTTGTACACTTTGAGCTTTGTCTGCAGGCTGATGCCAGCTCTATTCCAGACTTTTGTACGAAGTCTACCAAATGCCCTGCTGGCTTTAGATATCCCTTGCTTCAGATACTTGAACCCACCAGTATATATACATGGAGACTTTTGTCCTTATCAGGGCCTCCCACGCCGCCACTCCAAAATGGCCCTATTCAGGCCACCGGTTAAAGATTAACTTTATGGGTTACTGAGTGAATTACACTAGACAGTGAACTTCATACTAGAGACAACATTGCCGATAGAAATAATAAGACTATAAGGCTGTCCAGGAAACTTCCTAGAAATTTCCCATAAAATGTCGCAGCTCCCAAGATGGGGTTGAAATGTGGAAAAAACAAACAAATGTGCTGTTCATGAATTTTTATTTTCCCTTTTGGTCTCTTTCTCCCTTTTCCCTCCTGGTCTCCCTCTCCCTTGCTTCTATTTTAATAATAATGTCATGATGTACACCAATAGGTTTCCTTCTTTTGCTTTGTTCAAATAATATGGATTGTCTTTTTGTGATGCACTGTAGCAACCTGGACAATGAACAAGCAATTAAAAAATCAAATTGAGTCTGTGGAGATTTAGGTATAGAAAAGAGTAGGGTGTATTTCAGAAAAAAAAAAAAAAAGCAATCAATTATAGAGTTGACAAGAAAGCAAGAGGCAGACAATATTACAATTGGAAGGATAATGTTAATAGATGGATGAAAAACAGTGGCAGTTTCCAAAACCAAGACAAAAGGGTCTGTACATGGTGTTTTCATCATTCTTCTATAAAACCACACACATGATTTTGGTCAGCTGCTTTTCATCACTAAAGAGTCATCATTATCACGATGTCACAGACAATTTGCAAAACTTTGCTCGCATGACAACAGATCAAAAGTTTTGGTCTTAATTTTCTCTTATGCATTTTCAAGCCCATGGTGTCTTTAATGTTTTGTATCATCAAATGTCGGCTCTGTGGCTAAATCGATGCGAACGCTTCCTAATGCCAGGATACCGGGTTCGATCCCAGCTGCGGGCCATGCACCTTGCATTGGTTTTGACAGTGGTATCCAGAAAGCAATGGCAAACTACTGGACGTAAATGTGACTAGAAAAACCACACAACAGCCAGGGGCTGTTGGGGTTGGTTCTGCAACGTCCTGTAAAGGATATGCAACTAACCTAACCATCTTCAAATGTTAGGTTAACCACCTAATCATGTTCTCTGTCTAAGGGAATAATGTGTTTTCTCTGCATGTTTGTTCTTTCTCATTTACTGTCATTAGGTTGCTTTTTTCTGGGTACACTGTATTGTATTTTCTATTAGGTTTGGGTACAATTTTTTTTTAAGAACATATATGTTTAAAAACACCTCTCTAGATTATAAAGATGATATAGGAGGGAGAGATAGAGATACATTTACATAATGCATTCAATTTTAGGCTATCCTCCGAATAACGGTCGCAAATTATTGAGGCCGAAAAAAATACCCTTACAGGGCCTCAGTCACATGTAAATTGTAGACATCCAGCGACTACCGCCACTGCCGAGAGTGTCTCCCGCGCCGCTACGTGCGGCCAAGAGCTAAACTAGATGGCTGGGACTCACGAGCAAATAAAATAAAGGAAGCTGCAGGAGATGCTGTAGCTGCTGCTCATGAGGCCCAGCTATCTAGTTTAGCCCCGCTACGCGACGCAGGAGATAATCTCGGCGGTGGCGGTAGTCGCCAGAAGTCTGCAATTTAAGATGCCAGAAGTCAGCAATTCACATGTGACTGAGGCCCTGTCATCTTATTTTTTCGGCCTCAATATTTTGGGACTGTTATTCGGAGGATAGCCCAATTTTAGTATAGTAAAACCTCATCACTATGAACTCGCATGAGAATAACACTTAAGAAAATGTTTGTCCCTACAGAGTGTATTAATCTGAGCTCCTGATTAGCAAGAATTGTTTTTAACATGAATTCTAGATTTTTCAGTTCATTGGAATTTGTGTTAATGCGGTTTTACTGTGTTACAATTGAATGCATTATGTAAACTAATCACAAAATACTGAACTGAAATTTAAATGAGACTAAAAAATTGAAACTCACTTTGATGTATCGTCCCTTTTTGATGGTGTTTCTACCAAGAAGTGGATCAAGTACTGGATCAACATATTCATCAATGTTCTCAAGGAGCACAACATCACCAGATTGGACTGCGCGCTCAACCGAATCCAAGTAGCCTTTCGAACCCAGGCGTATAACCTGAAAAACAAGAATTCACAAATAAAAGAGATGAAGTTATAGGAGACTGCATGGAGTAAAGTGGAAAGGATATGAAGGCTTGGATGGAGTTGGGGGAGGGTCTATGCTCCCTTGAAAGATAGAGATGCTTTGTCTCCCTTAATCTCTGGTCTCCCTTGAAAGATAGAGAAGTAAGGGTCAATGAAACATGCATTTTTTTGTTTTGCAGCTTTTTACTCTCCAATTAAAAAAAGGTGCTATTATTCCTTCTGCTTCAGCATTCACAGTCCTTAAGGTTCACTGCTACAGATATCATTTGCCTCCCTTAATCTCTGTGACTGGCCTTCTCTTTTCTATTGGTGACTTCACATGTTTGTACATCTGCCTGTATATTATCTTTGCATAGTCTTCTTTGTGGTCTACTAACATTCAAGTCTTTTATGTACACAGTTTTTGTCTCTCTGTGATTTGTAGTTCTCTGTATATGCCCAACTCTTTGCAATCTATTAGCCCTCATGATGTCAGTAATTAAGGGTGAATGAAACATGACAGATAGGTACAGATAAAACTTGTTTAGCCTTGTTTTCGAAACGGTTTTGGTTATTTTTGTGACTCCCCACTCAATTTCCAATTAAAAGTTGTGAATGTGAGCTTGGGTTCATATGAACTGTATGGGGAGGTCACTGATGAAAAGAATAAACAGGGTAGGAGATATAAACCTCTCTAAAGGGACACCTTCCTGTAGTCTGATCAGCTTGCTCTTGTGTTCTTTGAGTCTGACATTCGCACATCTGTAAAGAAAGTCTCTGATCCAGACAAACATATGCCCTTTAATCCTGCTGTGTGCTAGTTTTAGCAGGATTCCTTTCTTCCAGACCTTGTCAAAGGCTTTCGTTAGGTCAAAGAAGGTAGCTAGCAGTTTGTATTTTTTTTTCTGGAAATTTCTTTAAAAAAATTTTAAAGCCTAATTATACTCAGCATACATACCTTTGAGAAAGAAAATTGCTAGAACATAACTATTAAATGATGTTCATATCCCTTACATGTCATTTTTGATGTTTTAGCTGTTTTCATGTCAACCTATTTTAAAAATATTTAAATTACTCGTTTTGGTAAAAACTAAATTTTAAATGATTTTAAAAAGTTTAACCAGGACCCCAAAAAAAAAAAAATATATCGTATAACAGTTAGCCTTGAATACTGCCTTCCTGCCATAAAGACTAGAAAATACTGATCTCATGACTGGCCAGCCATCCTTAAGAATTTGCGTTTAATGATTATTTTGTATTCAGAGTCCTTCTCTTCAACCCCAAAATTCTGCAGATACTGTTTAAAAAAAAAAAAAAAAAATAACAACATAGTCAAATAAAGGCAAGAGAGGATCAACTTCATTGCACAAAGTTTTATCCCACATGGCTCAGTCTTTCTCTGCAGAAAGGCAAGCCATCTGTCAAGAGCATTGCACAGAACATGAACTCCATTAGCTTCAGCGAGATCCCCAGTTATCTCCATAAAAATTGTATTTGTGAAAAAAAAAACAACCTCTAGAGCATAAGATAAACAGCTTAACCACAAAGCTACAGACACCCCCCCCCCCCCTCCACAAAAAAAAAAAGTTACACACAAGAATATACAATTTCCAACCAAACCTTCAGGTCAGCTCCAAATCTGGTCTTAATCCACTTGACACCCTGCAGCTGGGGATCAATCATCAATGGCCATCTCTCACAGTTTGTTAAAATGGTAGCATTTTCTGTAGACATTCGATCACCAGGCAAGCCTTCATTGTTCCAAGAGGCAATTAGGGCATCATCTGCCAGCAAGGTCAGAGGGTCCAACCCTTCAGAGAAAGGTATAGGGTTCTTGAGTCCCTTCAGGTAAGGTAGCCAGTGATTGTCCATGAGATCCGTTCTGTAGTTCTGTTGTCAGTAAGAGAAATATGAAGATGAAAGTACACACAAAAAAAGGGGCTGAATGCAGACCAGCTATAATCAAGTAACTTAATAATGGTGCTGAGGGAAGTGACCAGGGATCTGGCTAATACTCAGGTGAAAGGCACGATGAATGTACAACCAGACTGCTAACGGTAACATCAGAACTGAAAGCGTGCTGGCTGCTGAAGACGGAAGCGGAGCATTTATGGGAATTTCCCAAGTGCTGTGATGTTGGTTGTTAACTCAACTCAAGTAATTTAAAACTATGACTAAGATGGGTAAAAGATGTTGGGGTCAACCTCTGCTATGATTTAAAGATGTGCACAAGTGGGATATGAACAATACATGTACTGAGGTGGATTCATCTAAACAGCATGCCATGGATCATAAAGCATAGAAGGGAAAAATTAGGAAAGGAATAATGACCTATGAGAACTGGATACCACAGATCATATTGCACGAAGAGGTAAAATTAGGAATGGATTAGGGACAAAGGGAAATAGAGTTTCAGCCAGATTAAGAGCTGAAGGACTGTGAAGAAACATTTCAAATACATGTGATGGCATCACTGGTTTTGAATTCCATGCACCTTTTGTGGAATATTATTCTTAAAATGAGCTGGACTTGGCACATACAGTTATCACTGGCTGATTTATGTACAATTAAAGCCAAAACAAACTTTGAGTAGGAAACTAATCATGTTTCTTAGAAGATGAGGATTGCAGAGGATCAAGAATAATAAGCATTCTAAGTAAAAGGAGATAATTAGGCTGGTGTCAAATACCAAGCTAGATGCTTGACTGCCAGCGCTATAGCACAGTGAAACACAAACTTCTGGAAAGGTGAAAAAGTATCAACATGACTAAGATGTTCAGTGGAGGGTAAAGAACATACTAAGACTAGACAGCTCAATGTCTTAGTTATAGTTTTGTGTTGTGTTAAATTACTCCTAAAGTTAAATTATGAAAAAAAGCAAACTAAGACTAGACAACCTAATGTCCTAGTTATAGTTTGTGTTGTGTTAAATTACTACTTAGGTTAAAGTAGTTAAGTAAGTAAAGGACTTTTTTCATGACTGGTGCATCAGGTATATAGAGCTAGACGTACAATTTATAGACCAAACGGTACTTGATGGGTAATGTGGTTAATGGGGGATGTGGTTAATGGGGGATGTGGTTAATGGGGAATGTGGTTAATGGGTAATGTGGTTAACATTGTGCCTACAACTTTTACTTTCCAGGACATTGTTTGATACCTATTTCAGCCTGAGTCGACCTGAGAGTCAAGATCAAAAATAAACATGGACCTAATGTGGTTTTGAACCCGAGACCTTAAGGCCAACAGGCATACATCTTGACTGTTGAATTAAAAATTGAAATCACAACACTAAGGAAATTCCCACAAACACTCCCTTCCCATCTTCAGCAGCAAGCACAGAGTTCCACTTCCGTCTGTATATTTGTCTTGCCTTTCCCTTGAGTGCTGAGAATTGGCCAGATTCCCTGGCTACTCCTCTCAGCCCCATTCTTCTCAGACCATGATGATCTATTTGTGCCTTTGTACTGTTCCCTTGCTTCCAAAAGAGCCTTACAACTTCTAGCTTGTCATACACCAATTTGCCAACCAGTGGTGCAGAACCACCATCTAGCAGGCAACTATGCTACTACAGCTCTCCTGGTTAAAGTAGAGTTTAACACTTACTCAATGCAGATAAAACTAAACTAAGTAAAAGACCATTTCTTTGCCATGAAGCACATTGGGCATATGGTGCTGGCATACTATTTCTATCGACCAGTAAACTCTTAATGGGTGGTGTAGTCAATATCACACTGGCTGCCTTTACTTCCTTGAACATTTTCTGGTAGCCATTTTTTTCCTTTTACAATAGTTGATCTGGGAGACCACCAGTTTGGCATGCAAGTTTGCTAGCCACTGCACAATAGCTGCTTCCTGATAGCTCTGCTGTGTATATACTCTCAGCTTTATGAAACGAATATCGGTTTCAAAAGAACTTTTTTTCTACCACTTTTCTCCTTTTACTCTGAACAGTTGGCTACAGTGACTGCTTCCACCTTTGTAAATAAAAATATTCTGTAACTAAAACTTAACTAAGAAATACATGTGCATCAAAAAAATGATTATGCTGAAACTGTATTTTAACTCAGTACCTTAGTAAAACAACCGACATATGACACAAATGCCGTGGTCATCAGAACATCTCCAGGAAGTGTCTTCTCATTTTCTCTGAAGTTTGCAATAGACTCCGCCCACCTGACATTCTCTGATTCCAGCCCACCAACCAGGCGATTGGCCAGCTCAATGGTCTTGGCTGTTGTCTCAGCCTCGTGCTGGCATCGAAGCTTCTCAGCTGTAGCTTTCTCAAATTCTGCTTGACACCTGGAGAAACATATGGGTGTTGTTGTATTTGTACCCACTCCCACTGTGGGTTCCATAGCCCCAAGTGGGAAGGGGAGGGGAGCAGGATAATAGACTCACTGCTCTTTAACAAGCATGTTGTAAATGGCAACTTATTAAGGATCTGCTGAATTTAGATGTGATGGGTTGAAAGGCAAAAATATCACAGCCTAGCTGTAAACCAAAACACACATCTAATGCTCTCTTAGGGGCAAATACACACAAAAAAGTTTTTTACACAAGTTTAGCAACATATAGAATGTAACAAGCATATGATGAGAACACAAAATACACATGTATGAAAATGTCTTGAAAGAAATTCACTCAAAAAGAGACCTGATTACCCACATTAAGAGGAGACAATCTACATTCTTTGGTCACATAATGAGAAGGAGAAAACTTGAGTAAATCATGAAAAGAGATTGAAAGGAAAGAAATGCAGTATATGACCAAGAGAGAAGATGCTGGACAGTGGCATTAGGGCATGGAGATTATTTGTATTAGAAATTATTAGTTGAAAGAAGCAGATATCACAGCCTAGCTGTAAACCACAACAAAATGTGCTAACCATCCTTTTAAGGAAAGATCCAGGATAACAAAGAATATATTAGAGCAAGAATCTACCATCATATATGAAGGTGAACTTTAGAATAATAATATGAAAAAAAAGAAAAAAGGAGTTAAACAAGGATGTTACTACATGATCTCTAACAAATTTACTGTGAGACAATATTTAGAAAGATTGAACTTCCTTAAGCAGGTGAAATTTAAAGACCAATATATAAATATTCTTGACAAGTATCAAATAAGATGAGCGATAGAAAGAGAGTATAATAATATCATACTTTGCTAAGGTTTCCTCCAACTCAGCCACTTTGTTCTTGATAAGCCGCAGCTTTTCCCTTGCTGCAGCGAGCTCGGCATTGGCTTGATTCAGGGCTATGCGCTTGGGTTCTACAGTGCAATACACTTCATAGTACTTGACAATGTTAATGACCCATGAGCAAAGACCTGGAAGATATATGATTCTCTGTGATATGACTGAAATTATAGACAAACATACCTGACATACTGTGCTATTACTGGTTGAATTTAAAGGTCATCATCATATCTGTTTTGCAGAAAGTTGCTCTCATCTCGGTCTGTCTGAAAGAAACTTGGTTTCTTGCCAGCTCTCCCGTCGCGTGTAATTTCACATTCAAGGAGTCATTTATATCCTGTGCCTATCTTCATGTTAGTCGGCCCCTGCCCCTCCTTTCTGGTACCATACCTTCTGCTATTATTTTTTTTTATTTTTTTCCAATCCGCCATGGCACTTGATATGACCAAAATATTTCAGCTTCAGAGACAAGATGCTGTTTAGCAGTCAATCTTCCCTGATGTTCAGATCTTTTAAAATGTCAGTATTTCTTTTTTTCTTTTGTCCTTGGTATTCTGAGAATCATCCTATAGGCCTCTATATAAAGGTAAAGGTTAAAAAGCAAAAAAAAAAGTTCCTCTTTATTACCACACAAGGCATTTGGTGCTAGACTCATAACTTTACAGACCAATCAGCATTTAATGAATGGTGTGGTCAACATCACACCAACCACCTTTACTCTCTGGTAACTATTTTTTAGGCTGAGTGACCTGGCAGCCTTAGTTCAATTATTAATATCCTGACCCATAAGGATTTGACTACTGGACTTTTGGACTGGCAGTCAAGCATTTACCTTTGTATTTGACACCAGCCTAGTTATCTCCTTATACTTAGAATGCTTATTATTCATGAGCTTCTGCAATCCTCGTCTTCTAGGAAACATGATTAATTTCCCACTCAAAGTTTGTTTTGGCTTAAATTTGACACAATTCAGCTCAGTTTAAAAGATGTTAAATGGATGCAACAGAAAATGAGCCTTATCCCTTCAAAGCACATATGAAATTAAACCAGAGTAGCAATTTATCAAGAAATCCACCAAACTGCCTTAGAAAACACAGATCTAGTTCTAACTGAATACTGAATGATGAATTAAGAATTGACATCACAGCACTCGAAACACCCCTCATAAGCGCCCAGTCCCTATCTTCAGCAGCAGGCAAAGAGTTAAAATAGTTCTAACTGAAGAAGTAGCAACAACAAAAAATCATACAGCATGATATTGACAATGCTGCTATTGTAACCTGTTACATAATAAATTAATAACAGTTTATGTGAAAATCTAAAATCATTTAAGAAATGTTTCCCATGTGGATTCCAGGTCCTGTTTCAGGGGGAAAAAGAATAAAACCACTGCCCCTTAACTAGCAGGTTATAAAAGTTGACCAATTAAATGTAGGTTGAACTGGATGTGTTAGGACAAAAGGTGCAGATTTGCAGACCAGCTGTCAACCACAATACAACTGCCCTTTTAAGGGCTAACACAGAAGAAGAAGAAAAAAGACAGGTGGAATGGCTAAGAGATGATGAAATCCACCTCTGATTAATGCATACTTAATTCTCTTCACAGTACAGACTGTGTGGATTTGTTCTCAAATAAGAAAGGATGCCATGTTCACTGCTGATCATGTAGGTAGTGAATGGAATGCCTAGTCTTTATATAGACAGGTGAAAAATAGAAAGGGCATTAGATTCTTCTGTTCTTACTCGTATGTGCTTGCCTTTGAAAGGATTGTTGGCATGTTGTGGTTTACAGCTAGGCTACAAGACAGGCACTTTTGAGCTCAATACATAGCAAAAAAAAAACAACAAAACTATAACTAATGATATGCTTATTCAGCTAAGGGACAGCTGATTTATCCCCCCCCCCCCTTTTTCCCCCTGAAAAAAGGGAAGCAAAGGGTAGAGGACTCTAGATCATTTTTTATATTCTGAAAACTTCTTGACAGTTGAAAATAAGCTGAATAGGCACAGCAAGTCAGTAACTAAAGGATCCTTCTTACACTAGTGGTGCCGCTGGCATATGATAGACCAATCATCACTTGATAATGTGATCAATATTATGCTGGCCACCTTTACTTCCCAGGACATTACCTGATACCCATCGTAAGCTGGGTCAACCTGGGAGCCTAGATCAATTTTGGAGGGAAAAAAAACCCTGACTCGATGTGGATTTGAACCTAAGACCATCAGGCCTGCAGGTGAGTGTCTAGCAGCTTCCTATGTAGGTCAAACTTAAGCTAAATAAAAAGAAGAAAGCTATTAGACAAAAAAAAAAACATTATTCAGTGCAAGTTTGATACTGGTAGACACATAAGGATTCCTGTTAATGCTAGAGAGTTCATTCCTTTTATGAGATTCCCATAGTGTGATCTAAAAGAGAGGAGGAAAGGGCAGGTATTACAGCCCCTTCTAAAATATTTGTATGCAATTAAAGTGATTCTTTGCTAACATCAAAATTACAGCAAGGTATTTTGACACTTTTATTTGTACCTGCAGCAGCAACTGATTTGCCTCTGATCAATTCTGGCTCAAATTCTGGATCTGCCAGATAAGGTTGGACAGCCTTCAGGCAGTTCTCATGTATGTTATCCTTGTCGTAGTTGATAAGATTGTCAAGAAACTGGTCAACCTGTACAGAAACGATACATACAATTATTTAAATCATGCACCACTAAGGTTTTTTGATCAAGCAAAACAAGACAGTAATCACTTCACAACTGTAAGTGATTATGAAGATGAAATAAGTGCAATAGTTATTTACGTATGAGTATATGTAAAAGCTGCAAAAATAAAGTAAAGGACCCTTTTTGAAGCCTTTACACGTATATGGCATATAGGGCTAGACCTATATTTTATATACTAATCGGCACAAGGTGGGTGATGTGGTCAGCCACACGCTGGCCGCCTTTACTTCCCAGGACTGCACTCAGTACCCACTCAAGGCTGGGTCGACCTGCCACAAAGAATAAGGAAAATAAATATAATACTAAAAGGAAAAAACATTAATAATGCTTCAATTACAATACTGTGTGGGTTCCAGAGCCATTTTTTTAAAGCAGGGGATTGGGGAGGGGGGGGGGGGCGATAAAACCTTTGCCCCTGTGAAAAGCATGTCATAAAAGTCAACTAATTAGGGGTGTTGCCTTCAAAGAGGGATTGCATCTGCCTGCCAGGTGAAAAAGCAACAATCTGCAAAAAAAAAAAAAAAGCCAGATCTGTTAAATGGAGAGAAGAAGAAGAACAATTTTAAAATTTTCTAAACATTAGTGAGATAATACCTTGTTCATAATGGTTGCCCTTGCAGCCTTCCAAGATTTGTCTTTGGGAACCTTGCCACCTGGGGCCAGTAAACACATAACAGCAGCTGTTACATTTGTAACAGCACCTGGTGGCGATCCAAATGACTTCAGCTCACTCAAGTTGGTCTGAAGAAAAAAAGTATAATTCATACCATTCTATGTTGATTCATTTCCAGAGTAATTGTTTTTTTAAACACAATATGAATTCTGTATAACAAATAAAAGTAAGAGTCATAATATCGAATATTTAATGTTAAATACAACATAAAATAAATATAAAATACTGGAACAAAACTCAAGTACAAATATAAAAACCAAGAATTCATTAAAAAAAAAAAAAAAACTTAAGTAGACATTGACTCACTAGTTGAACAGTCCAATTCTCAGTTGAGTTTTGAAAATATTAAACTGTTGTAGATGTCTAAATGGGTGAAAAGTAACTATTAAAATACTGACAATAATCACTGTCATTTCCAGTAGCCATTAAGGAAGTTTCAGTTAAACAGTTGATAAGCAAATTATGAAAATATTATGAGTCAGAAACACACCCTGACAGGACCTCATTAGATCGTGTGATGTACACATTCAAAAACCTGAACTCAAAAATAACGAGGAATGAAAAAAAAAGGAAAATGATGAAATTGACTACTTAGTGATAATTGAGGATTTGATATCTGAAAATAGTGGCACAGAAGTTGCAAATAGTGCCCGAAAATCTGCTCTTTGTGGCTGTAGCGCCATTTAAACTCTGCTAAATATGATCGGTGTCGCACTGGTAACGCAGTTTTCACCGCCAAGAGGATCCCCGCGCCGCTATGCACAGCCCGGAAGGCAGCTAAACTAGATTGTCGGGACTCACAAGCAGATAAAAATGAGGAAGCTGCACGATGCAGTAGCTGCTGCTTGTGAGTCCCAGCCATCTAGTCTAGCCCCACTCCGCGCCGTGCGTAGCGACATGGGGGAAACTCTTGGCGGCGAGTTTAACTTGGTGGTTTGTTGCGTTTTGTGACATCATCGCCGGAAATTTATCATACATTTGCCGCTGTATATTCGCCGGAAAGAAGTCAGCAATTTACATGGGTTTGAGGCCCTGTCAGGGTGTGTTTTTGGCCACCATAATATGTGGTTGTTATTAGGAGGATAGCCATATATATATGTCCATGGTTGGTTGGCACCTTTCCATCTCTCAAGATAAAAAGGTTCCCTTATGCTAGAGACAGGGAGGGGACTCACAGTCCATGGTGATGGTGAGCATGACAAGCAAGACTGCCTCATATTAAAGAAGAATCTTCCACAATAAGTGCATGAAATTTTAGGATCATTGTTGCCATGACATGTATGCAACATGTTTCTTCTCATACATTGAGTTCTTAACCTGTTTGCAATCCTGTTCTTCTTCCATAGCACAAAGCCTTGGCAATACTAAAGAGAAAATATATTGCCCATGCAGTATGATCCCTCTTTTGGCCTGCTTTTTTAACTCCAAGGGAAAGTTAACAGCATTATGCTGGGAACAAACTCATACTCGGAAACACCATGTGGTATGTCTGCCAGATCAGAAGAGCAGTTCTCTGTCTGTTCACATAGTGTGCAATCATTGATTATTCTCCTCGATTTTATCTTTAGGGGAAACTTCTTCAAAGATACCATTGCATTCTTTACCCTTCTATATATGGATTTTAGGCCTAGTAGTAAATTGCTTGACCTTGCCACACAGCTCGATGGGGCTGTTTATGTGCAGCAAGTTTTCCATCATCATAGGTAATTTAAGAGATTCACATAGTCAAAGTTTACAAACAGAGCATTTGAAGGGATGATTAGCCAGCACCAAGAGCAGTCCTGTCATTGGTCAACTCTTACAACACATTTCATAAAGTAGAATGTTACTTTTTTTTGTATGCTTACCCTAAGAAACCCAGTAACAAATGGGAATTTGTTTTCACTGGTATTAACAAACTGTTTTTTTTTTTTTTTCTGTGAACTTACTTTATTCAGTGTATTCAGAGCTTCCTTGGCAGCTTCAAGGGCAGGTTCTGCTTTTGCAAGATCATTCTGGCACTCTCTAGCTTTGATCTCCACTTCAGCAGTGATCTGAGTGACTTTCTTCTCTTCTTCATCAGCAATGGCTTTCTCCCTTGTTACCTTTTCTGTCTCTGCACCAACAATCTGGATAAGCTTGTTAGCATCTTCATTCTTAATAGCCAGTTCTACTTCCTGAGATGCCAATTTGGCTTGCAGATCATCCACCTGAAAAATAAAATAAAAGCTGTAATTTGTAATTTAAAAAAAATAAAATACAACTGTTGAGACATGGGTACCAAGTTACTCATGATGATTTTAACTTCTTTGCCAGTTTTTATTTCATTTCATATTCCCTACTATCAGTAACAAGTTAGAAAATCAGAGTTGGATTTCCAAAGAGGCACTTTAGAAAAAGATGGTTCTCATGCCTTTTGAACAGATGATATGAGTTTTGCACCCCTGAGGAGATTGGGGCTTCACAAAATACTAATCCTAAAGGCAGCATTGGAAAAATATATTCACTACAGCAAACCTCCAGATGGTTAAAATTTATAATTAAAAAAAATAAAAAATAAATTATGAAAAGGAGCCAGACATAAAAAAAAAAAAAACTTTAGTTCCCAAGTTGACCCAGCCTTAAATGGTTACCATGGTAAAGTCCTGGGAGGTAAAGGTGACCAATGTTATGTTGACCAAGTCACCCACTAAGCATTGATAGGTTTATACAAATATAGGTATAGCTCTGTATGACCAATACGCCTGAAGACGTGAAAAATGGTTCTTTATTATTACTTCATAAAATAATTCTAGCGGCTTTTTCCCTATTGGGTTTCTCTCTAACTCTGTTATCATCTGCTGGTACAAAAATTAAATCATTTAAAAGAATCTTTGCCAGGGATTGAAAGAATTTTTAATTTCTGTTGCACTTGTCAATCTCTGTAACGTAGTTAACTGTCAAACAAGCATATAATTCTGCTAACAGGCTCACAAGCACTCACACACATGCATGCACACACACATATATTAGTGACAGTATTATCAGGTGTTGATTCTTAGGATCAAAATTACGAATGTTTACTGAATATTTTTTTTAAATCGGTTTTTAATGGCATATTTAATGAAATCATAAGAACAAACCTGGGAAGCTGTGCTTCGGAGCTTTTGCAAACCATTCTCAAGACGCACTATGCTAGCCTGCAGCTCCCGGTTCTTTTTGGTTAGCAAGTTCTGATACAGAGTTATCTGCTCCAGGAAAGACTTAGGTGTTGTGTAATTGTAACGGCGTTCACTGGCCAGATACTGCTGGGACACCTCATTGACAGACTTGTGTACGTAGGACATGAAGAGTGAAATTGATTCCCTCATTTCAGGCTGTAATGGAAATAATAACAAACTGAACAAGTGTAGTACAATCAATGCAATGTTTCCATGTTTTAAAATTTAATAAAGATTCACACACCACAGGCTACAATTTACTGCCTGGAATATTTCATTGTATCGCTTCAGGCGCATACTACATTAACAGTTGATCAGTTGAATATAATGAAAGCATAAGCATAATAAAAGCATAATAAATATAATTAACATTAAAAATAATTAAGCATAAGTATAATAATCAAGTAGAATAATTGAGTACAATTCAAAGTAAATCAACATTTTGCACATAAATTTCACTATAAAATTTTATAATGAAAAACATAGTTATCTAACAATTACTGACTTTGAATTTATCATATATTTACCACACTGGTTTTTCTTTAATTAAAAAAAAATTACTATACGTAAAGTGGCCCACACCAAGATGTGGCATCATACATATTTTTTGGGCAGCAGCATAGGGGAAGATGGGGGAACTGACAGAGGCATTAAAATATAAATTCAAAAGATAAGAACAGTAATAGACCACAAAAACACTCAT